GACCTCTTGGCTGGACAACGTGCTCAATGACCCTGCGCAGAGTTCGGACCATGAGCTTGCGTCTACAGTCTTGAGGATCATGGCTATTCTGGCCAAGGTCTCACCGCAACTCGCATCGACCTTGGGGCAATCGCTGCCTCGAGTCATTGTCCAAGCCAACTTTGACCACCGAACGACTTCAGTGGCTGCAGAATCACTTGCTGCAGTCCTCAGTCTTCTCCCTCAAGATGCCATTATCACGACACTTTATAGTCTTGGCAACGTCATCAGTGTCGCCCCTGCCTCTGAGCGAAACCCGTCTGCGTCTCCGACGTTGAACGGTACAAAGACTGCGCGTGCGGGTACCGTCTACAACCATCAACACAGCAGTGCAATCTCTCTAGCCCCGAGCGACGTTGACGAGCCGCACCATGTGCACACGACAGTTGTTGAGACCATTGTATCAGTTGCCAGAAACTGCAAGGACTCAAAGATTACTGCACTTGCACTATCAATGCTCGTGCAAAAGATTGGGCGTTCTGGCAAGGTAGTAGATGCAAAAATTATCACTGACACAGCCTTCCTGGGCATCCACAGTCCGCCTGGAGAATTCAAAGCTCTGCTCAAGCTTTACACTAAGCTTTCTCACGATGCTCTGGTGTCCGACGATGTTGCAAAACTCGAAGCTGTAAGCGTTCTCCTTTGCTACAGCTACTTCATAGCAACTAATATCCTTTCCAGGTCATGGCTGCGCGCCTCAACCTCTCAAAGCAGATTACCGCCGGCGAAGACGCTTTTGAAATTTACCTTATGCACTTGTTAGATACCATTGTTAGCAAGGGAGATGCCCAAGAAACGTCTCACCGTCACCTTCGAGACACGGAGCTTGCGGCACAGGAAATCGCACAGCTTCTCAAACCACTTGCAGTCCTTCTTGAACGAAACGCTGAACGACCCGAGTACGCCGAGCTTGACGACTCCATCATCGGTCTCCAGCGTGATGCCTGGTTCAACATTGTCGTTCATGGATTCGATTTGCTCTCCGACTTGGGCAAGCAGTATCGTGAAGAGCTGCGTACGCTTGCTCGGTTTAGCAAGCCTCTAATTACCGAAGAGCGCCCTTTCCTTTCTGAAAGTGATATTGAATTGAATACAGTGTTGCGTCGCGGTAAATCGCCCGAACACACGGTCGAGCAGAAGAAACGCCTTGGCAAATTACTTCCATCCTGCGAAGCTGACACCAAATCACTCAACTATCAGGAAGCTGTTTTCCTAAGCACAGCTTACCTCGTGGAAGATTTGCGGGCAAGTACGGGAGATTGTACCAAGGCGCTTGTGTACTTCCTCGACCCCAAGTTGCGGACAGGCGCAGTCGGCAACTGCATGTCTGCTATCAGCACAACGGCCGTTCGAACTTACTTGACAAAGACACTGTCAGGTCAATCTCACACCTTCTCAACGCCGTACTTGGCAAAGCAGCTAGCCACCATGTTTGCTGCCTGCTGCCATCGCATCGCTCGCGTTCAGCAAGCGGCAGCCACTTGTGCCGATGTTGTCATTCGCGAAGTCCCATCGACCTTGTGCCAGAAGAGTGCGTTGTTTGCTCTTTTGGAGCTTCTTTCAATCATGTGGTATAGCTGCCTCGAAGGAGAGACGGACGAATACACTTGGAAGTCGACTTTTACTTCCAAACGATCCAACATCGCCGTCGAGTTGTCAGATGACTATGCTTTTCGACGGGCGACCCTTGATGCATTGCACAAGCGCGCAACCATCTGGGTCAAGGGAGCGCTCGACATTGCCCCTCTCGACGTCAAAGGACTTCTTCAGTCATATCTCTCGGAGTATGACGATGAGTTGGCTTTTGGACATATCTCGTTGGGACGATCTTTTGCCCTTGAGATGGGCTCTGTTATTCCGTCTACGGACCAGCGTCTTGGTGCTGTGGAACGCCAGGGCATCAACATCAACACCGCATCAGACTTCATTACCCAATACACCACCAGACAAGAGTACAAGTTTCTCGATGGTGTCGCTGATCAAGAGGAAGAATGGCTTAAAGGTGCACCCGCCTCCGAGTCCAGGTCAGCGTATCTATCCCGCAGCCTGCATGAGGCGACTAGCCTTTTGGTAGATCTGGAAACCCGTACCCTGGGACATAAGCATGTCGCCATTGCAGAGCTTCGTGACATACTTCGAAGAGCTGCTGCATTACTTTGCCGGGTCAAGACAGATCAGTCGCCCATTGTTCAGCATCTGGTGGGTATACCATTTGCAGTGTTCTCGAAGCAATCCATCAAGCTCGGTATCTCATTGTGGACGAGCGTTGCCAAGGAGAACCCTCGCATGGAGTCTCGGATTCTTGTTGCTATTGCTGAAAACTGGGAGAACACAGTGCGCAAGCGTCGGGGTATCTTCAGTCCTGCGTTGAAGCATGCTGACCCGTTCTACGGAAAGCAAGAATTTGCTGCCACGGATAAAGAGTCACTTTCAAAACGTCAGCAGCATGTCTACAATCTCATTGCTCCCCACTTCCGCCTGTTGCAATTTCTGTCTAGCCACTTCAATGCATCGCGGTTGAGCAAGGCGGATGTCGAACGCGTCTATGTTCGGCTCATCCATATCACACTGGATGCAATGAGTATGGGTTGCGAGCAGCCTCTTGCTCGCGAATCTTACTTCCATATCATCTTGCTCGGTTTGCGCATCGCACACCATTGCACCACAATTTCGTCCAAAACTAGATGGCGATTGACGGATCGAGTATTGACTGCTGCTTTGGCATGGTTTGCCAAGGCTCCCCAATGGTCTTTTGGAGGCAACAGACTACAAATCAAAGCTGAGACACATGTTTTGGCTGATGTACAGGCGCAGATTGATACCATTGGGAGGGTCACCACTGCTGTTGACATTGGTGCGAAGCTGAAGGCGAAGCAAGATTTGCTGTCTCTACTTGTCTCGAACGAGTTGTCCCGTCTTACGGTGTGGCTTTTCCCTCTTGACGGCAAGAAGAACCATTTGATCTCTGGCCGACAAGGCAACACGCTCCCTGATGTAAGTCTCTTGTTCCGGAACGCAGCGTAAGCTAATCTCCTCTAGGCTGCTGTGACTGCGCATCTGAAGACGGCGTGGGCCGAGCATCCTGGAATTGCGGTGCATCTTGTCAAACGCTTCCAGTCCCAGCGTCTTAACAACGAAGTCAGATGGCAGGTTCTCAATTTTCCACAAAAGGTCCTGGATGAGCCGGATGCGCTGGAGATACTGTTGGGTAACTCCCTGCCTAATGATGTCTCTTTCCAGCTCAAGGTATGTACGAATTCATTAATAATTTCTTTCGCTGACCTTGTCTAGTACATGCTCTACTGGGCGCCTGTCAACCCTATCACAGCCGTCACATACTTCATGCCAGCATATGGCAACCATCCCTTCATCATCCAGTATGCGATGAGGGCTCTGGAGAGCCACTCAGTGGATGTCATGTTCTTCTATGTCTATCAGATCGTGCAGACGCTTCGATACGATGTACTAGGCTACGTTGAGCGGTACATTATCGAGACAGCCAAGTTCTCACAGCTGTTTGCTCATCAAATCATCTGGAACATGAAGGCGAACGCGTACAAGGATGAGGCCGCCGAGATTCCGGATCCTGTGAAGCCCACGCTAGACAAGGTAATGGCCAGTCTGGAGTCGAGTTTCTCACCCGAAGACCACGCCTTTTACGAGCGCGAGTTCGCATTCTTTAACGAGGTTACCGGTATCTCGGGTACTTTACGCTCTGTTTTGCATGAGCCTAAAGAGGTCAAGAAGCAGAAGATTGAAGAGGAACTGCGCAAGATCAAGGTGGAGGTTGGCGTCTATCTTCCTTCTAATCCTGATGGCCAGGTTATTGGCATTGACCGCAAGTCTGGAAAGCCACTGCAGAGTCACGCTAAGACGCCGTTTATGGCTACCTTCCGCATCAGGAAGACCAGGCCTGAAGATCAAGGCTTGGAAGAGACTGAAGACGATGACCGAGACGTGGCGCCAAAGAAGGATAACAGCTACGAGACATGGCTTTCTGCTATTTTCAAAGTCGGAGATGACTGTCGCCAGGACGTGCTTGCTCTACAGATGATTGCGGCTTTCCGGGGTATCTTCAACACGGTCGGTCTTGATGTTTGGGTGTTCCCCTACCGTGTGACAGCAACCGCGCCCGGCTGCGGTGTCATTGACGTGTTACCCAACTCCATTTCACGTGACATGCTGGGCCGCGAAGCTGTCAATCGTCTTGATGACTACTTTGTCTCTCGGTATGGTAATGAAGACTCCATCCGGTACCAGGAAGCGCGCTCCAACTTTGTAAAGTCCATGGCTGCGTACTCCGTCATCAGCTTCCTGCTGCAGTTCAAGGACCGACACAATGGAAATATTATGATTGACGACGCAGGCCACATTATCCACATCGATTTTGGCTTCTGCTTCGACATTGCACCCGGTGGCATCAAATTCGAGCGAGCGCCGTTCAAGCTCACGGCTGAAATGATTGCCGTCATGTCTGGAAAGAATGCGGCGAATCCATACACCTCGCAGGCGTACCGTTGGTTCGAAGAACTCACCGTCAAGGCCTTCTTGGCCAGTAGACAGCATTGCAACCATCTCTGCCACGTGGTTCAGGTCATGCTGGATAGTGGATTGCCGTGCTTCAAGCCAGAATCCATGCGCAACTTTAGGGATCGCTTTGTGCTGGACAAGAGTGAACGCGAGGCAGCCGAGTATATGCGAGGATTGATTGAGAAGAGTAGGTCGAGTTACTCGACAGGAACATATGATCGGTTCCAGCTTATCACGAATGGCATTCCTTATTAGGATTGTTATTGTCGTTGTAGGTAGAGGTAATAATTTTGTATATAGACACTATAGACGTAAAGAAACTTTTGAATCCGAGAATACTTTTAGGTCTAGGAATATCTCTGGATCTCTGAATACCTGTGGGTCTAAGAAAAACTTTTGGGTCCAATAGTACTTTTGCAAAGGTCATAAACTCATGTCGTGATCTCGGTCGGCTTCTTTTCCTTTTTCAACCCCGTCACAGTCTCTACATGGTCTGTACTCAGCACCGCCGACTTGATGAACAAGCTTGCCACAAAGCTCAGGAATGCAAGCACTGTGTATGTGATCCACATATTGCGCATGGCGTACGCAAAAGCTTGTTTGGCAGCATATTCCCATTTGGGGTTACTGCCCAATGTGCTCGGGACCATGACGTTTGCAAGCGCATTCTCGCCATCCAGCAGTTCCCGTATATGCTGCGGGACACCCGCGTCGCGTAGCAAGGAGGCCTGGCCATCCATGGAATTCTGGATGATTGTGCCGCCCACAATAGTGGATACAGCGACGGCGATGTTGCGAATAAACGTCAACGTAGCAGTTGCACTGGCGACGTCGCACTGCTGGACCTGGCTCTGAATCGCAATTAGGGGCGCCTCGAACAGAACTCCCGAGCCCAGGCCGCCAATGGCCACGAAACCAGCTGCCATTGCCGTCGAAGTCGTTGCGCTGAAGGCGATGAAGAGACCGAAGCCGATAGTAAGGAGCAGCGTGCCGATCCAGATGATGGGCCGGAAGCGTCCCGTCTTGTGCATTATCACGCCGCATCCTACGCCGGCGAGGGCGCCTGTAACGATGAAGGGGAGGAGCAGCAGACCAGAGCGCAGGGGCGAGGCTTCGAGGACGGACTGGAAGAAGAGCGGCATGTAGTATTCTCCTGCTATGAAGACGAAGCCGTGCAGGAACACGACGGATAGCACGGCGACATTCGTGGCGTGCTTGAACAGGGCCATGGGTATCAGCGGGTACTTTGCGACTTTGGCCTCGCTGTAGATAAAGACGAAGAGCATGGCCGTGCCGATGGTGAGGAGGACGATGATCTTAGGCGAAGACCAGGGGAACAGGACGCCACCAAAGTCGAGGCCGAGGAGCAAGAGCAGCGTACAGGCCAGAAAGGTGACGATGCCGAGCCAATCTATCGCGCGAATGCCACGTAGAAACGACGTGTGTTCGTGCCGAATATCGAGGAAGAGCAGCACGAGGATTGACGCGACACCGCTGATGGGAAGATTAATATAAAAACACCATCTCCAACTCACCAAGCTCGCAAAAAGCCCACCAAGCACCGGTCCCACACCCCCGGCCAACGCCCAAATCCCCTCGGCAAACCCCATCAGCAAGCTCCTCTCCCTCAAACTAAACAAGTCACTAATACACACGTGCACAAGCAATATCAACCCGCCACCCGCAGCGCCCTGGAAAGCCCGCCCAATAATAAGTTCCTGCATCGTCTTTGCAGAAGCGCACACGGCGGAGCTGACGAAGAAGAGTGCGAGCGCAACGAGCATGATGAGCTTGCGGCCCCAGATGTCGGAGAGCGACGCCCAGATGGGGCCGGAGGCTGCGTTGGCGAGGAGGTAGGCGCCCCCGATCCAGGTGTAGCCTGCGGCCGAGGAGAGGTCGCGGGATATAGTGGGTGCGGCTGTGGCGACGATTGTTGCGTCGAGGGCAGAGACGAAGAGGGAGAGCTTTTTTTGGATGGTTAGTGTACGTACATATACAAAATGTCAAGGGTTCCCTTCTTTTCTTTCTTTTTTTTGTTTTCTTGATGGAAAGGTTGTGTAGTTTGATAAAAACGGTGATGAGCAAGGGAAGGTCAAACATACAAACAATGCGGTGATAATAGCGATTAAGCGCACTTTACTCCTCTTTCTCCTCTCCTCTACCATCGAAACGTCTTGTTCTATTCCTTCTCTTTGCCCTGCGTGCGGAATCTCGTCTTTCCCGGGTGTCGTGACCGGTAGAATTTGTAGCTCTTGTTGCTCCATCTCTTTTTTGTCAATCCCAAGGAAATAGAAATGTCAATTGGAATCTACGTTACTTAATCCGCACCAGCACTCTTGTTAGTGGGGGAAAACTCAATTATTTATATATATATATATATATATATACAAACCATGCAATTGAGGTTTTGCAAAGAAAGATGGGAGGACTACGGATGACTGGGTGATGCTTACAGCATGGAATGCCGTGATGCCCTTTTTTTCCTTAGCGCCCGTCACCGCTAGATGGGCTGGGAGCCAATCAGGTGGGGTGGCGGGGCGGGGCACGATCCGAACACTTTCTAGAGGCGGGTTAGCTGGCGCCCTTTTCTTTTACCCCACAATGGGGATGAGATGGCGTGGAGTCATAGGACTTTTTGAGGGGGTTAGTCATGATGGGGTGGAGTGGTGATTGGATGGTAAAATGGGGTCTGGGGAATGCAGTAGTTTCTGGAATAGGTTAATGTCCAGGACGGGCAGGTGTGTAGATGTGTTTGGGTTTGAAAAGCTGTAATGACTCATGGATGCTACCTATTCCAATCAGACTCTATTTGTCGATGTCAGGGCATGCAGCACCTACAGTATTCACTTTGTCCATATTATGTAACACTCGAGTTGGATAGACACCAGGTCATAGTAAGGTAGCATAGGTGTGGCCAATGAGAGCAGAGGTTCCAAGAGCCAGTCAGATCGCATTTCTTCTCGTACAGAACCCCCACTAGGGACCCTCTATGTATAAAGGCAAGGCGCCAGATTGTCCTTAGTGAGCAGCTTAGATACCTAAGTGGGTGATCCCATGTATGTTTCGAACCTATCTTTTCTTCCCTCATAAGAAATTCCTACTTCGATATTGCCATCTCTACTACCAGCGGAGCATGGGCTTATATAGAGGGAAGAAGTTCAACAATCTGCTTACATTAGACGCATGCAGAGACTGAATCGTATCCGCTCTAAAACTCGGAAGCATATGACAAGTGTTAGGACTCAGAGCCCACTTCTTCCAGAAGGAAGTGGGGAAGTTCGTCATTCTGCTCTGCTGCAGATAGCGCTAGATAGCCCCCGCATATCCTATGTAGCCTTTGCTAGCGACTATTCAAGGATGTGAAGCTTGTTTGAACGTTATCACTGCACCCAAGTCTTTAAGTGTGGCTCTGATGGACATCGTCGTCGATTTTGGTCCCTGGAAACCCTATTTTACTAGAATCTCAAGGGACTTTGGATGAAAACATACAATGATTCAGAGACACACATACTGTATACACTCCAGAGTAAGCTCCATAGTTGAAGTAATCTTGCTACAGCACTGGATGACAGTAGTATCTTTAGATATTTTCATCTCCTGTACGCAAGAGAATGAGAGTAGCAACATCAATCTTTGTAAACTCTTTGTGAACAGTAGCCACAGATCGAAGTGCGTACTAAGTTTAATTGTTTTTTTCTGTGATGTACAGAATACCCTACTTCAGTTCTTCAAAACTCTGTCTACAACGACCCTACTACAATGTATTGATTCAATTTATACTATGTCTAGCAATGAACGGCCTTTCAGGAAGCGACTGTAATGCCACGAGAGGGTGGTTGCCCTTTACCAGGTCTGTATTAGAGACTGGGTAGTGATTGCTGAGGGGGCTCTCGGACATGACTCGCAACCCTACTAGATGAGGACGCATTGTTTCTTCTTCTCTGTGAACATATTCACATTGCTCTCTTTACTGCTACTGTTCTCAAAGGATGGACCGATTTCCGGAGTTATGTTCTTGCTTTGTAATATCTGTTCAGTTTGTTACTTCTCTTTAATATCTCCGACATGATCCTTGGAAGCTGAGCCTCGCCGAATAGGCATTCGGAATGCTTCCGCTTCCGCTTCCACTGGCTTGGCTGGCACTTACCTCTTTGAGGTAGTAGTATAGCCACACTAACCTTTCTGAGAATTTGGGCCGCTTGAGCTGCCCTATGAAGCTGATGGAGCAAATTGGTCCGTAAACCCTGCGCTTCGCTATATACAAGTACCTAGTCGTAGGATTGTCGGTGTAGAATGCCGAGGATGGAAGAGAAATCATTTCTCTTCGATCGTGTCATTCCACCCTGCACCAGTCTAGAATAATCAGGACAGCTTCTCTTGCGCATACTATCACACCAGTATTGCATGTATTACCTGCATTTCTGTGTTCTACATCACTATGAGAAACTCCGACACCTCTGCTTAGTCGGAAACTTAAAAGTCCGATTATATGGCAGCGGGTGCCCCTTGGGCCAATACAAAGGCCTTCAATTCAATGCATTGGACTGTCTGGGATTCGAGTAAGGGTGAATCGATAGAAACAGGATCCTCGCTCTTAGGTCTGGATGTTTGGAAACATTAACCCTGGTGATGGTGTAATCTAAATGGCGGAATTTGACCTGCTGGTCGGGGTTGGCGCTATGCTTGAGAAGTTTCGATACATGCTGGTATACATCTACACGAACTTTATTCAGCTATGCAATACGGAGCGATCTAGCGTTTTTATATTGCATAGACTTTGGTGCGTTGCTTGCCATAAGTCCCCTCTATGACAGAGTGCTAAACCTGATTACATGTTTTGCGACACACGTATTGAGATTGTCACGGTTCGGAACGGAACCGAGCGGAACCAACCACGTTTCACAGAGCGTACGATCGCAGCATGCTACCGGGTTCATCGTGGTAGCTAATACGCCTCTCGGCAGGGAGATAGGGAACAGACTCTTAAGCGGCTCTTCCGTAAGTACGGCCCGAATAGCAGCTTGAGTAACTGCACGGATACCGGCCCGTCTCACAAATAGTATGGATACGTTACCACGTCTAGGACTCTAGCGTACCTAAGGATGAATAGGATGCTTTTTATTGTACACTAAACAATAGACTAAACAGATTTGTATGTAGGGTATCCACAAACCCCACGGGGAGGGATGGGTTTTGTTTTGATTTGTAACTCGGCGCAACTCAACTCGCTTACAAGAAATACCAAGTAATTATCCTTAAGTACTTATAAAGCCTCAGTTCTAGAGGCTAAGTCTTCCTCATCGACGTAGTTTCTTCATTCTGTTCACCTTTCGCTTCCCTCACGAAGAATGCTTCATTCCTTTCTCGCAGCGGCCGCCCTACTGGCGAGCCGTACACTAGCGTATGACCAAACGCTAGGGTTCAATGGCGCCGCAATTGTCGAGACTCGTTCAATTGAAGAAATCCACAAGGCCGCTCTCGCTGAAGGTGGCGTCGTTACAATGTGGCTAGGCGGCGACGAGCGCACCGACGAGGATGCACTGAAGAACGAATTCGAGAAGCGATTCCCTGGCATGAAACTCAACCTCACCACCGACCTGTCAAAGTATCACAGCCCACGCTTCGACGAGCAGCTCGCCGCGGGTAAGGTGTACGTTGATAGCATTGCGTTCCAGACCGTACATGATTTCCCGCGGTGGGATAATGAGGGCGCACTGCTACACTATGCGCCTGTGGGGCTTGACAAGGTGTATGTTCCGATGAAAGATGTGCGTGCCGCGTTTTACGGCATTCTGACAGTAGGATGGGCGGGCAAGTGGAACACCGACAAGTTGCCTGGGATCCAGGCGCCGGTCGAGTGGGAGGATTGGTTAAGGCCGGAGTTCAAGGACAAGCTTGTCTTGACTTACCCTAACGATGACGATGCGGTGTTGTACGCCTTTGATCTGATGTAAGTTTTCGCTCCCATGGGCGCTCTGAAAGAAAAGACGACTAATGAAAGAACAGCATGCAACAGTATGGCAAATCTTGGTTTCAAAAACTCCTCAAGCAAAACCCCCGCTGGGTCCGTGGCACTCGTTCCCCCGACACCATTATGCAAGCTAAGAACTCGACGCGCGCCGCCTCATTCACATCGGACGGTCTCTTCCCAACCTCAAACATCAAGATCAGCCACCCAGTCAAGGGCTCCTTCGTGACCTGGTTCCAGCTTGCTGCCATCCCGAAAGACGCGCCGCACCCAGAGGGAGCAAAGCTGCTCCACAACTACATGCTCACCAAGGAATGGCAAGCAACCCGAGGCTCGTGGCCTGTGAGGAGCGATGTTGAGCCTCCTCAGGGATATCCTCCTATCCTTGAGATGCCAGGAACAAACATCACCTACTTCCGAGAGTGGATGTCCGATCGATACAGGGTTGAGCGATTGAGGTTGTGGTTTGAGGATCAACTCGGCACTGCTCAGGGCCTGAGCCCCATCTCTGATGACATTTAAAATTAAGACGAAGGGAGAATGAAGATTTCGCTATTACAATACATAATTAATTAAATGATAATCCTAAATCAACCTTATAAAAAACCACGAATGATATCCACTTTGTTGGAAAGTGGGCTGAAGATGAAGTGTTCTTTGTTTTTCGTGTAATAAATCCTTGCGCTCTAAAATCTAATCTACCCTCGCATATTGTGTCGCAAGTGATCGCATACATGACATCAATATCTATAGGTTCAGCCTATTGTGGTACTTCTATGCTAAGCTAAAAGCCTCCCTACTGAGCAGAGAACCAAGTACTGCATAGTCACTGCACTGACGTGCCCTCTGTCTAATATGCTTAGTATATCGTTACATGTACACGTATTAAGCTAAAGTCTTACTGCCGAGAACATCAATCAGACGGCAGGTCGGCGATCAGTTCAGGCGGGTACTAAAGCGGGATCCGGATAATGACTTACTGCCAACCTTTTCTAATGTATACGTACGGTGGCTCAGCCGCACACGTACTTCATCGGACGACTAAATAGCAAATCAAGATGACGTAGCACGATCACGAGTACAATGTCAGAAATAAGGCCTTGTCATGATATACTATCAGTAATCATACATCCGCTTACTCGTAAGACCTACAAGGGCGATCCCTGTGTACCGATGCAGGGCTCATTCAGATACACGAGCGTCTTTCGGATGCGGAGACTAGTTCAATTACGTACTCAAGCCTAATTGTTACTACAAAGCTTTTATGCAAGTCAGCACCTTTCTCTCTCTTTCATTATTACTTGTTGCTCACAGTGCTGGTACTAGTCCGTTAGAAGGGGTAGGAAACTAAGGAATGTCAATGACCTTGATGTGGCCATAGCAGCAACCTGCATAACGAGGCAACTCTCTGCGCATTCACTAATAAATCGACTCCAATTCTTATATAATAATCGTCTTTCACTGCGGATAAGTGTGCAAGTAGTTAATCACTATAGAGTTTATTCATGCGAGCTGCTAGTTGGCATGAATCACACCATCAATCAACGATTTCAAATACTTAACTAATAGTTAGCACAAATATTAATGGCGTTTCATAGCTCTGTGCACTTCATCTGCTCCGCCAGTTCGCAGGCGTTCACAGAACACAATCGGTACCGATGTGGAGCTAGTACGTACTACACACTAGGCTTGCATTCATTAGGCTACTACGCTATTCATTCATCCTTCTACTTTAAGTGCTCGCTATAGACAAAATTAATCAAGAAGAATTCAATTTGTCCAACTTAGACCTGAATATCATGCTACGGGATGATCTTAGAAATGAGTTGCAATCACTACCAGATCTGTTCAGTTACCATAGAGTATTTGGAAACACATCCATCCATCTACTAGAGTATTATCAAGCGCGAGCAGTTTATGTTAACAACACAAAAACTACCAAAACTTATGCTAAAAACACAATACTGGAATAAAATAGCGGTACTTAAGTTGCAGTGGCGGCAATAGATCGTTGTTTACCCCTTTCTCTCTTGCGTATTTATGTTACTACGCACTTCTGAGTCATGAAGTACTAAGAAGAAGACGTATTTTATGTATTTGATCAAGAGATGCGGGAGATGCTGATACGGTCTGTTTCACTTGGCAATGTCTTGATCCATTTCGCGTGGAAGCTAGATCAGAAAGTAATGGACAGCTAAATAAAGGTTGTGTAGGAACAACGAAACTTTTTTTCTTTCTATTACGTACTGAAAAGAATTATTAAAGCATATGAAGATTAAGAGATAAGAAGATAGGTAGCGAAATATCAAGAAACACGTTTGAAGCTAATCACACCCCTATTTTATTGAGCTAGGTACACCCTAGAGGAGTCAATCGTCAGCGCGAAAGTATGGCTTGAGCTACACGTTAAGAGGGGGATCTCGAATAGCAGCCCACAGCGTGCTTGTGAAATACTCCTGCTTTCATGACGATCATCGAAATTGTAAAAAAAAACAGTGGTAGTGTACCGAGTACCTTTGTAGGACGAGGAAGGGGAGGTAAAACTTCGGCATACACCATCATCCACTCCTGGAGCAGAGTTGCATTCAAAAGGGGGTTACGACGAACTCATTTAATCAGTTGCTGTCTTGATACCAAGAAGATATGAAGTATATATTTCCTCAGTGCTTGGCGAACAGCTAGCAGCTGGGACCTACTGCGAGGTTGATAGATGCAGTTTATTTCGAGACACGCGATGTTGGAAACATAAAAGACGAATCCGTCTGGAAACTGTGGGAGCAAGAGTATATCCTGAAACCCATCACAGGACTGAATACCTTGAGAGCGTTCTCTGACTCGAGTACCTTGGCGATGTGAACATGTCGCACGGCACACGCGCAAAGTGCGGTTAGACCCGTACTGTACCCAAGATCGTCCAACGGTCGCTTAAAGCTATCCAATACTGGCCATGCAGGTCATACTTAAGTGGAAGATCCTTTGGCAGGCTGTCAATGCGCGGAGTAATGAGATCCGAGCCAATCATGGGGTAGTAAAGCTAGTACCTTTGAGCACATTTGGAGCCTATTCAAGTAAAGACTGCGCTGGGCGCACACAACAACGTGGTCCGACAATACAAACATGGAAAGGATGCAGAAAGGGGGGAGTTGTTACCTTCTAAAATGCGGTTGAGACTAACCTACGTGACGGCAGATTGCGATACGCCGGCCTAATCTCATGATGTCTGATCCACAGCTCGTTCTAGTCCCGTTTATCCAAGACGGTAATGATGGAAAGGTATGCTTTCGTAGGAGCAAGTGCCGATCTTTGCTCAATTGTTGCAACCCGAAAAGTGGTTTTATACGAGGTACTTCCTAGTCATGTTACACCACTACGTGGTATTGATCTGCGTTGCATATTAAGTCTGTAGTCTGGATTCAGGGTGACGAGTGCAGCAGCGAATTCTTCACCTGGAACTTCCATTAAAAAAACTCAGTACGCACTTCTCGGCCTTGGCTAGTTGTGGGGTTGGTGCTCTGTAGGAGCATACAAGCCACTACGTGGGATTAGACTTTGCAATGGAGCAAGTATTGCGCACACAGTGGTGTTTCGCTTCGCCTTTGCAGCAAGCAAGTATTATCATACAGATTTTTGCTCGGCATCATGCGCATCCCGGCCTGCTCCTGTGGGCCAACGGGGCTTAGAATCTGGGGTTGACTGGGAGTTTCTTATTACAATGGGACCATGCTCGGTGTTCAAGCCGCTTTGAACAGCCGCTCCACCTGGCAATCAAGCCTTGGGAAGAGGAGCGAGGCTGAGAACGGATAATCTTGGCCGAATACTCCGGGTAAACATGCTTCTATGGTTGCTCCCCGATGTTAAAACATGGAATCTCAGTAATATATGCAAGCATAAATGGAGCGCACCCAAGAAACTGCAGACAGTCATGCCTTGGATGATGAACATGGCTCGACATCAATTCAAAAAAGTCAGTAACGGAAATATACAGGGAAAATGTATATATACACGTAGACGGTCGGCTGAAAACATGTTTCTTTTTCCTCACCACTCACCTATACTACTCGTCCAAGCCGAAAGGTAACCTCATTTACTTTCAAACGACATTACCAGTCATCATGAAGGCCTTCTTCGTCGCTCTTGTTGCCCTGCCTGCCGTTCTGGCTGCCGCTCTACCTTCCTCCCAGGCAGCGTAAGAAACATCCCCTAGACCCTATCATTTTTATTAGAGATTAGCTAACCGAGTTAAACCAGAGCATTCCCTATCCAGAGCCAGGAGTGTACTTGCCAGAATGCCGCTGGAGCAACCAGGGCTTCTGGACTCTGCCAGTATATGAGAGGCGCACTCCGTGGTCCAGGCGAGTGGGTAAGTCTGAATTTTCTGTTTTTCTATCATCACCGTACCTTTTTTTCTCTCTCTTTCCCACGTGTATCCATACGATCATAGTATCTATCCTAACTAAGAGTCTATTTAGTGCTTCCCAGGTACCTCAACCACCGCCGCCATGAACACGATCTTTAACGACGAGAGGTGTCTGGAGCAGTGGGGTTCCGAATGGAGCAAGGGCGTTTGCAGGCCCGTCTTGCTCTGCCAGGGCCCAGGTGGCCCCGACTACTACGAGATTTGCTAAGAGAAACGACCGGATATGAGCTGTTGGATGTATAATCTGGAATGCGAATAATTATACTATTTAGTATTTCTCAATGTATATGAGTACTCGGTGGCTAGTTCTATCTTAGATGTTGAATGAAGTTTGGTACTGTACCAAGCCTTACTATAGTGAGCCTAGTCTATGGGCATAGTCCATCCGTCTAAGCTGCTCCTCGTACATGGGGCAAAGGTCAAGTAGAAAGATTACCGGAATGATGCAATGCAATAATGCCTTATCTAGTATAGCTAATTTCCATTGGTAATCTTGAGCACAAACTTCCAGGTATATCTGGCGGTTGATGCTTGCTGTGAAAGTTTCCCAAGCCGAGTTCTTTACATCTTATGCACTGCCTAGTTCTCTAAGGACTACAAACGATTTAGTAAACTTAGTTCGAAGTCATGCGAGCCACAAACAGAGTACTCCGGTAGAGGCTAATCGTGAATAATACTAGTCTCTTCTGGCACCATCATTCAGCACTGACAACAAGGCTGTGACAATGGCGGAACCACATGATGGCATTCCTTTGAACAAGATCTCATAGCCGCGACATGTGATACTAAGCTCTATATTTTGATCGGTCAGATACCAACAAGTGCTCGCTACCAGCCTTGAAGCTACAGTGACCAAAGACCAATTAGGGGACAGATTTGAACTCAGCCGCGCTTCCCGCCGTGCCCAGACACTAAGTTGGTAATTTGGGTTCGCACAATCGGAATCGCATTTGTCGTAAAGACGATGCAATCGGTTTTGAAAGAACAAGTTCGTAATCTCTATGATAGGTACGGGGAGTGTGTCATCCGCCGAACCCTGTATGCCGCCCGGTGGCTCCGCCTCTGTCGATTCTACAGATGATCATTGCCCATCTCACCAATCGGCTTTGGGCATCTACCTAACTTGAATTTTGTTTCGAGCAGGCGTGCGGAAAGTCTTGGTAAATTGAAGATGAATAAGCCGGGCGATGAATACCAAGGTCTTTCACATGCCTCTTTCCTGTGCATAAGCCGCAAAACTAGATCAACTCGCGATTGTGACCCCTCTTTTTCTCTAGCGCGGAATGCTTACTTACATGGCTGAACCGGTCAGACTCTTCAGCTCGGACAGCTGCCGCTAGTGAAGTGCCCGGTCCCTGACACTGGAAACTGGTACACCGTAGAGGGGTGACAACCGGTCAAGAGATGGTGGTCACAAAACGATGACGTTTTCCCTGTACACGGTACATTCATTGACAAGGGCATGATTGGAGAGGTGACTGCGGCTTACTGTACACCCCCGCCTGCTTACTCCAGACCTGCCGTAAACGTTCCAAGCCTCGGATCTGTCCGTTATCACCAACGTTCTTGTTACCACAAAGCTACTAAGCTTTGCAACTGCCAAAAGCTCTTGGGTGATTTCATAAAACGTTGTGTATAGGAACTGCATGGGCACTCCGCTTTTGTAGCTGTCAAACCCGAACGTTCGGTTCTTGGGTCTTCGGCCTGCATGACATGTCTCGGTCTTGCTACAGCCTTGCATATGTCAATCGCTCAGGATTGCATTAGCTGTTAGCGTGTGCGGAATCACCGAAACATGGTGTCCATGTGTCAAAGTCGTTCTCGACCAGTTAACTTCTCCATCATACGGTTTAAATAATACCAGCTTAAAGGCTGTAATCGATGCTGACCTCCGTCCCATCTGTCTTGTATCGGAGAAGTGGCTAAACCCACCAGTTATCGACTGCACCTCATGAACATAAACCAGAGGTTCAGCTGTTGGGAATATGTTTTAGTTTGTCGAAAATACTACGTGCAGTATGTTTTGATGATGAGTAGCAAATCAGCTAACTTGCGATGGTGACGTACTGGGCTTGCGTAGTTAGGAATTGTGTGACTTCGCAGGCGCCATGATTGCCACTCGGAGTTGGCCGTCTAGTAAGGCCCACACCCGACGGATTTATAGCTTTAGCGTAGCATCATCGTGTCGTTATTTGTGCCGGCGTGTCTTGCCATGCAGCTTCAAGGTGACAAAAGAGGGTAGGGGTCTGGCCCGAGGGTTTGGTTACGAGTAACGGCGAGTCCGAGTCTCTGTACTTTTTCTTTATCTCGATTCTTTGCAATAACGTCGGCGACGATGCGTATTGGTACATGTTGACGTGGACACAGCGGCTATGCATGCGAATCATGGTCTTTGGGCACACTGTATAGGCTCTGTTTAGTATTTAGATCCCTATACTTGGTCGTTCTTTCGGGGGAAATCAAAGACAAATGCAACACTGTGAGCTCATCCATTCTCAAAGACATTATAACTTCCGGGTCAGTGAGTAGACCCTGGCCGTCGCCTTACTCTTTTTGTCAATTCTTCTTACCTTACACTTGACCACCACCGCACATTCGTACTCTGTACCACAACACAAAGTCTGTAGACATCATGCCCACAAGAAGTGAGGAGTCAGACTTGAGGTGGGACAGAGTTGAGGCACGTGAAACTCACTATCGCCAAAGTACTCGGGGGAACCCCCAGCCACCGAATGCAAAAAAACGCATCGACTCAATTGAACTTGGCTCAATGGGTGCTCACTTCGATGTTGTTTCCGAAGATGAATCGTACCCTGCGAGAATTGATGATTTCACCAGCAACGAAGCTGGAGATCCTAGTTACGGCGCTGAACAGAAAATTCGTCGGGACTCCATTTACGACCAACCCGAATCGGATAGCAGTATCTCAAAGGAAGCAATTGCGGAAACCGGATTTGCTCCTAAGTGGGGTCCGTATCTCCCGCTGTCTGAGATGATAGAGACTAGACGGCAGTTGTCGACTAACAGTAAGTCTACCGAAAGAGCTTTCGAGGGTGACGAATCAGGCTCTATAGCGCCTCGGCATATTACCTAGGTAGTCAGAGTCAAATTTTGCTGACTGCTTCACAGAAAAACGTCCACCATCACTGTCGACCACTATCGACCCCGGCGTACACGAGGAACAGAGTCCGACTCCCGAGCATGAAATCCACATACCTTTAGTGACTAGCCCCACACCATCCAACCGCTCCATGTGTACAACACGTGAAGGGAGTTGCAGGGGAGAGAAGGAGTTTTTGCCCCCATACTCATGGTCATATTACGATGTCAAGCTTGGAAGGCTGAATGAGAAAGAAGCGAAATGAACACAGCTGCTACTCACTTCAGTGTAGGTACCAATTTTGGTTGGGCTGATCAACTTGGCATGTAGGTGTAGAGTGGTAGGAATTTACATCTTTGCCGTTTCTTGAGCCGCGGAAAAAGAGGCAACATCTGTCGGAGTCCGCTAGTTGTTTCGTTCTATATTTCTTTGCGTGCGAAGTTCTGTACGCAACTAAGCAACCCTTACTGATTGCTTTTTTTGTGTAGCTCGTGTAGCATTGCTACACCCACATCGTCAATCCACTAGCATTTCTTTGGCATTTCCCCTCTTTGCTGATTTCTTTATTTTGTCCCTACGTCGGAGGCTGCTGCTCATTTGATATCGATCGTCCTCGATAGAACCAGGCGTACAAGCTTGAGACCTTCTTTTTCGATCGCCGTTGTGAATTGCCCTTCGCTCACAGTGTGGGAAAAAGAAACAGCTAGGTGGGTTTCCGTTGTATGAGCTTGAGTGTCGTGTGCTAGACAGCCAACGATGTTTGCGGGGGGGCCCTCCTCGGGCGCGAAATGCGGGGCCGTGGACCAGTGTTGAAACGCCATCTTCTACCACACGACACCGACTTAAGCCCTGATGAAAAAGAAAAGTATACTATTCCACCTCATCTGACCAGGCCATGATGGGAAAGTCAAATTGCATAGAGATTGCTTTTCTTTCCTGCAGTGGACGTGTGAAGAAAGCAATGTTTATAAACACAAGCGTGGAAAAAGGACATCTTACGCGCGCAATAAGTACATGATTTACGGGGCAATACCCTCTTCGATGTCTTGCTGATGTGGGCCCAACAGTTTGCTAGAGCGGAGCAGTTCGCCGAAAAGATGGCGTGAGGTACGGCATTCACGCTGACGACGGCTTCATTTCGGCAATACTATACACATCGCACACCGATCAAGACCTCATGCTACAACTCCTGTGCAGGGACTCGTCGACAATATGCAGACTGCTGGATTAGGATTGAGTATGCATGCAGCAGATCTTTCGGAATCGGCACACATTTTGGGTGTCAGAAACAATTTCTTTAAAAAATATAATCTTATGACACGTATGCGATGAGTGTAGTGCAAAGTCTATTGAATTATGTAGAATCTAGGGATCATATACTATTGCATTCGTGTCGGTCTCTCCGCTCAAACAAAATGGTCTCTTGAAGTAACCGTCGTGGTAACATGAATGTCTTTCGGCTCTTTTGTCCTTGAAAGCTGATCCCATGCGCTCGCATGGTGTCTCGATTCGTTGCAATCTCTCAGAATAGTCTCCTCGCTCGCAGCATCGCTGCCCATACGGACAGTCGTCTGCAGCACGCTCTCGCCAGGACCCACGTATATCTTGTTTCCAGGCCGACTCCCATCTCCACGGCTGCTTTTTGACTTCGAGTATCCCTTGAGATGATACGAGTCCTTGTTTGACGAATCGCCGCGCGAGCCGTACTTGACGCGTACATATAAGGGACGGAGGACGGGGATACATGCGCAGACAATGGTCATGCAGACTTCCGAAGAGGACCAAAGAAGCATGCTGGCAGTATCGTACACATAATTCTCCATGGACGCAAGAGATTGCAGCTCAATGGTGCGAACAATAGAGCATGCACCAGCGAAGATGCCAAGTGAAAGACCGGATGCGATGGTAATCTTTTCCTTGTGCTTCATGTTAAGACCCATGAGAACGTGCCAGGCTGGGATGGGTCAGCAGTGTTCGAACCGGTGTCATACTCGTTGTTGACTTACGAAGTATGGCAAGAACAAAGTCCATAGACGCGGACCAAGCACCCATGGTCAGACCGACTGGAGTGAAGTTGAGCCAACAGTAGCCACCTTCAATTGTGCGGTCCCATAGAAATGCTGTGGGTATACACTGGGCGTACAAGAGTGCTGTTGTAATGATGCACAATATGGTAGTGCTTATTATGCAAAACCAGAGGATGCCGACATGCCACTGCTTGACAACGATGCGTAAGAGGAACAGCGCCACCGAACCTTTGGAGGCAGCGATTCCCATAATGCATATTCCCTGGCCTATCGCTTCCCACATGATGGCTTTGGAGTAGTCAAGGTCGAGACGGATAATGTCAGCCGTTCTTTTCCCAACTCCGTAGTTGACTCCGATGGATACGCAGGCTACATAACCTATAAAAGTAGCCTATAAAAGTCAGAAAGCGATCCTCATGGACATTGGGAGGATGTAGGAGGGTTGGCTTACCAAGTTGACCAACATCAATATATCGTCCCATCCGAAATTTCGTACAATCCACTGCCGTGTATAGAGGCGCAGTGCAATGAAGATGGTGGCGAGAAAGACCTGAAACCACATGACTCCATTGAGTATGTCTGCAAAGTCTGCTGGTTTGCCCATCTTGGTCGCTAGTGGCTCAGTGGTTCTGCCTGCAAATGGGGCTGGTTTGTCTTCGTCTAACGACCTACGGCTGGCGTGAGACACTGCCGTGTGACTCCAGTGATGGGTGAAAGGGTGTCCGTCTTGAGGTAAACGAGAAACCTGAGTAAGCGTTATCTTGAAGCTATGGCGGTATGTGCAAGAAACGAGTGAGACAAGACAGAGAATTTAAAATCTGCGACTATGGGCTGTCTTGTCGAAAACCGGTCCGTTTGGTGGGCAAAGAGCAGGAGTGCGACGCTGTTTCTATCTCTCTTTTCAATCGAGACGATGCCCACGCTGAAGAAGAAAATGCATCTGCAAACAATTCCGAGGGTCTAGTTGATCGCTGGGTCTCCAGCACCCATTCCAGGCAGAAGAAGTGGCAGTCTCCAAAGCGAGACGAATGAATCTGACCCTGGGCTATTTTCGGGGCCCATACGCGGTGCTTTTCTTGCTGCGCTATTCCTCTCGCAGCCCTGTCGAAAACCATATGATGATGATGTGGCTCGGATCCTGCTGCACAAAGATTCAAAGACGGAATCGGTTACTTAACTCAAGCGTGGCTTGACATGGAAGAGATCAACCCTTTGAGCTTCTGACCAACCTTTTGGCTGCGGCCATGTGAAAGACGGACACCTGCAGCTTGGATCAAACTTAGCGCCGGATGTCTGTCCTGCTTCCCCGGGCGCTGCGTCCAATCTCAATTTTTATGGAAGCCTTGGCGACAACTAGCCATGCCGTCTTTATGTAGCTGGTACGCGTGGACGGTGAAGTGCCCTGAACAAGCGATGCGCTAGCAATTCCATCTGCATCGTCTGCACCGTTTCCTAAAGCTGTTGTCAATCTTCTTTCCGCTTAACCCGAAGCTTGAAACAGCACCTTGCTCCATACACACAACTGCTATGAGCGGCGATTAATTAGGCAGGCTGCGCTGGCGTCGCCACCAGCTCTGTATATGATCCGTGCCGAAGGGGGAGTGGGCTGGAAGAAAAAGAATACTCGGACGAAGATGACCCGAGGCTTCGTACGGCGGATCTTTGACTACTTATGTATACCCTAGTGCGGCCGCAGTGATACAAAAGGTAACATCCACTGGTGAAGGCAAGGACAAGCGCAAGCCTCCTGTCATATGTATGTGAATCGTAATCTTGAAGACTCGGTAATCGACATGTACTAAGCGAACGTGGTACCAGATGGCGTAGTACACAAGAGCCACGAGTGCATAGCTTCACATGTCGCTGATTCCGCGGGCCTGTCACTATTGGCTGATCAAGAGAGATGGAGGAGGGGAGGTGGTGAGGGGGGGAGGGGGAGCATGTGGATTTGCGTCGAAACCTGCTTAAGAGTTGTGGGTTAGCACAACAGGCGAAGCTCCCGCCTCGGGCCGTTGTACGCGCTTTATCGACTGGGGGGCCGCGTCTCCATTTGGGCGGATGCAGGTGGGGGACCAACTTGGGTCAGTTCCAATTTGCTTTTTGTGGCTTTTGGCCCCAGCCATACGCGAGCGCAGTAATGAGGCGTCGTCTGGCGGAGTCGCGCTCCCGTGTCGCTCAATGCCGTGACAATTGCAGATACACTCTTCTTGTCCCGACAGTGTGGCAGAGGATCTGCTATCTGGTCTGTTGGGAACAGACTTGGCGACGTTGGTCAGCTCCACTAATCACGGGATCCTGACGGAGAGACTGCCCCCCGTCCCGCAATGTCAAGGGAGAGCACCGGCCTACCTGACATAAGTCGGTAAACCCTGGCATGTCAATCACTAAATGCACACTGGGATGGTGGCGTCTCATGCAAAAGTAATGCATCCTCTCAAGCGGGCGTGGCGACATCTCCACCTCACAGCGGTATACGGCCCTTTGTATTAGGAAGAATGTCATCCAGCCATGCGAAGAGACGGGATGCTAGCCCCACAGACTCACCTAGCTCGCCCGAGGTATAACATGTGCATAGTTAGCAGAAAGTGTCCATTCTTATGTAGAGCGTCTCGATCCCAATCTCTCGGCTGCCCTTGCAACTCTGTTTCATCCCTTACCACGGTCTCGATCACACTGCAGGATACATACAGCGTGCACACAACAATGGGATTAGCGGGGCTACTCGTAAAGGCAATTGGCTTGGGAACTGTCTTTCTCATCACCCAATACGTTCTGGCCTACCTCCAATCCCCACTCAAGAAGATTCCCGGGCCGTTCCTAGCCAAGTTCTCCAACATCTGGCGCTTCTTCAACCATTACGGCCAGACCCACATTGAGACGCAGAGGAAGCTCCACGACCAGTATGGTGACGTTGTTCGACTAGGTCCCAATACGGTCAGCATCGCAGATGCCAATCTAATTAAGACGATCTACAATACCCGTGGAACCTTTTTGAAGGTAAGATGACAAAACCCTGCATAGATGGGACATGTGCAACCGCTGACTTTTCCAAAAGAGTGATTATTATGTAAGACAAGCTCAATCATTTGCATGACATGACAATGACAATAGTGTACTAACTGTGCTTCGGACCATCAATGACGCCCTTCAAGATGGCCATATTATCCAAAATATCTTCAGCACACGCAGCAATGAGTTCCACGCTAAGACGGTCAAGCCCGTCCAGAAGTTGTACAGTCTTCAGAATGCGCTTCAGCTTGAAAGCATCATGGATGAAAATCTCCGTGTCTTATGTGCTCGTATGGAATCCCGCTTCACTGAAGGCGCCAACAAAGGCAAAACCTGTGACATTGCCGATTGGATCTCATTCTTCGCCTGGGATTTCCTCGGCGACATGACCTGGAGCAAGCGAATAGGCTTCATGGACGAAGGCAAAGACATTGGTGATATGTGAGTAGCCTTACGAGCCGAGATATATGTGACATACATGCTGACTCGACATGTCAACTTCAAGCATAGGTACTGCTGAGCGCGTGATGCGTTATTTCTCCGTGGTACGTAAATGCCTAGACTCACAGTTACGAAATGATATTCGAGCAAATGCTGATCTCATCCAGGTCGGCCAAATCCCCGCTCTAGACAAATGGCTTGGAAAAAACCCACACTGGCCTCGTTCGCTGTACAAGTTCGATGACTTTTCCGTTGCTGCTGGCTTCTCTGTCGAGCGTTTCATGGAGCGCATGCAAAACCCTGAACTCGGTCAAGGCAGGAACGACTTGCTCAATGGCTTTCTCGAAGCAAAAAAGGAGCATCCCGAGCTTGTTACCGATAATGAAGTCATCGGATATATGATTATCAATGTGAGTCTCATTTGCCCAACCAAGTTTCAATAGGAGTGCTCCTAGACGCCAAGCTCCTGCTTGGATTAAGTCACTGATACTAACGATCCTTCTGCATAGGTGCTTGGTGGAGCCGACACACTTGCAATCGTTATGAAAGGCATATTCTATCATCTTCTCAAGACTCCTGTCTGCAAGACGCGTCTAGTACAAGAACTTCATTCTGCACGACTACCTTACCCAACCCCATACAACAGCATTGAGCAGCTTCCCTACCTTGATGCCTGTATTAAGGAAGGTCTCCGCATGCACCCCGTCGTCGGCCAACTCTTTGAGCGAGTTGTACCTTCTACTGGTCTCACATTAGCCGATGGAACAGTCCTGCCGCCGGGCACAATTGTTGGCGTGAATCCGTGGGTCATCCACTACAAAGAAGATGTGTATGGAGAGAAGCCGTACGAGTTCCGCCCAGAGCGCTGGCTGTGTGGCGAGAAGGAAGACGTGGCCAGCTACGAGGCTAGGATCCGGAAAATGAAAGATGCCGACATGGCATTTGGAGGTGGCAACCGTGTCTGCATTGGTAAGGCGCTGGCTCTTGTAGAGGTGTACAAGGTTGTTGCAACTCTATTTGGAAAATACCAGGTATGTCGCTTTATGGCTGGCAATGTCAACTTTGTGCATGGATTTTGTGCTGATGATGGATCAGATTGACCTTGAGGATCCTAGCAAAGAGTGGGATTTGCACAAACAATGGTTTGTGTGGCCACACGACATTAAGGTTAAGTTGAGTGCGTTCGATAGCGCCTAGTCTGGTATTTGGCAGTGTTAGTAATTTGGGAGGAATAGTCTTTCGGCACGCGTTGCACTAAGATTACTAGCGAATGGTTATGTTGCGACGCAGTTGGAGGTACCGATCATCTTGCCCAGTCATGGTATTTGGTGTTAGAGGAGCCAGTCTTTATTTTCTTGGTACAAGTTTGAACGAACTGCATGTTCTGAGAACAGTGCAAAAACAATTGTATCCGCAAAGGTTTATTCAAATGCCATGCATTCAGGAGTGTGTCTTGGTTCGAGGTACTGGGGCTGCAGGCATTCACAACAGCGATGCTTGCATCATGGATGTCAGCCTTAAGATCGCGTCCGCAGCACTAACTGTTTCAGGACTAAGTAGGGCGTTATTCGCCACAGTTCTTCCAAAGGTTGGTGGTTCACAACCAACATCGATCTCTCCACAACCACAAACGTCAGTTTGCGAAATCATGGTGAGATTATCTGGACTTCAGAAAGATGTGTTGTCACTCTACCGGCAGTGCTTGCGAGCCGTGAGACAAAAACCAATCGTATGTCAGCTGCGTTTTGCACATACTACATGCACATGCACCCTCCTAACGTAGATGCAGGAAACGCAAGCCAACTTTCGTGACTTTGCAAGGTGCGGGACTATGTGTCAAATGAAGCATCAATTGGCGACTGATGTCAAGTGCAGATCACAGTTCCACAAACACCGGGATGTTGGCAAGAAAGATTTTGGCACCATTGAGTATCTGCTGCGCCGCGGAAGGAATCAGCTGGAGTCGTGGTCAGAGCCGGGTATTCGGGATATCCAAAGGTAGCAGTAGCAGCAAGATGTATTGATTCCGGGATGTCTGGCCAAGGAAGATGGGTGCTACCGCAGCAACGAGAGCAACAATGCGCCAAGCATGGGGACAATGGAGCATCACGCAGAACGATGACCGTCTACTCCTACTACTCACGTACTAGTATGTGCTCCTTTGGGAATCTGGTGATATAACGTTTGACCAGAAATGCAGCAATGCTGGCTCACCCCCGCCCGAGTGTTGGTGTGGCTCGATCACGTGACATGGGCTGATGTTGGAACTTTCGAGCGTGTGCGCGTCCCTTCTGCGGGCGGGGTTGGTGAGGTACGCAACACAGTCTTTCCTCTCTCCAAGATATCCCAACTGCCACATATGCCCATGTGGTGTGATGGAGTTACGTCTTCATGACGGCAAACACGATGCTCGAAACCACTAGAAACGCCCTGAACCATCTCCGATGCTTTTCACAACCTTGCGCTGGAGCAGTCTCGATACTTCGACGAAGCCATCTTTCAGGTATAAAGGGCCCGTGAATCTGCTCCCATAGCTCGACATCAGAAACAAGTCACAACAACTCTCTTATGCAATCACTGCGCTCAACAATCTCACGAATTCCACGACACCTCAACCGCATCTCAAAGCCTACAACCGTTCGTCACTTCTCAAACACTTCAGCAACCATGTCTCTCTTCCCAAGGTTTACTCAGGAGTTTGCTCCCATGTTCCGTCTCTTTGACGAATACGACCGTCAGGCTTTCCGCAACCTCGACCGCCAATTCGAGAGCGTACGGTCCTTCACTCCCAAGTTTGATGTCAAGGAGACCAAGGATGCATACGAACTTCACGGCGAGCTTCCCGGTGTTGAGCAAAAGGACGTCAACATCGAGTGGACCGACAACAACACGCTAACCATTTCTGGCCGCCACGAGCACGTCCGCGAGGAAGGTCAGCGCCCACAGGGCTTCATCGAGAGCGGCGAAAAGTCGGACCAGAAGAAGCTTGGCCACCAGCCCAAGGTCGAGGACGATCCATCCGAGTCCAACAACAAGGTCGCAAAGCAGTCGCAGGAGAAGGGAGTCACCAAGCACGACGACACGCAAGCCAAATACTGGGTCAGCGAGCGTTCTGTTGGCGAGTTCCACCGCTCTTTCGCCTTCCCAGCTCGCGTCGACCAGGATAATGTCAAGGCCAGCCTCAAGAACGGCATCCTGAGCATTGTCGTCCCCAAGGCTCAGGCTCCCCAGCCTCGCAAGATCAACATCGAGTAGGTGAAGCGGCATCTTCTGGATTCTTGCGAACACGTACCACATTCATCCTCGACACACGGCGTTTCAGTAACGAATCACGACTTTCACGTTCTTTTGCGACATGGAGATGGCGTCTGCTAGTCAGGGGAGCGTCAAATTATGGTAATGTCTTTTTAGCGCAAACACTCGTCTAGGCTGGCAGTAGTAGGACTGTATCTATCATGGTTAATGAATGAATGCATTTTCAATTATACAAACAGTTTCTGTGCCTCGTGTTCTATAACAAACATTAATCTCTGGAATACACGGCAGTCGTAGAAAGCGGTAGGTACCTGAAATACTGTTTCTCAGTCCGCATAAGCGCGAGAATAGAGTTTCCGGCTATCAGATGTCGTCTGGGTACTCCCTGCATGCTCCACCGGATGCGACGAGAGGCGGTGTCAGACCCGCCGCACCCGACGGATGGAACTTCGGACACGTTGTGATTGGCGTATGGCGCGAAGTGCGGGGGGAGGACCTTATCGTTCCTCATCTCCAATCTTTTGCCCGTCGTCGCGACGAATGCAGTCCATGCAGTGGTAATGTCGCACAGAACGAGCAGTTGGACGTGAAAATGATTTCTTCGCGTTAGCCATGCAATGATCAGCCCTAGTCGCCGAAATCACACGATTTGTGCAGCCAGCCTAGCGGTCGCATGCCGAATTCGGAAGCTTGGTGCATTCAACCCTCACCACTATTCGACCAGCGCCTTGGACTGTAGAGACAGCCATCCATACTAGCCCTCTTTTGTGTCACGCGCATAACAAACACCTAGCATTCTACTACATACAGACGTCACTTGTAGTGTATTTGCTTTCTTTGTCCGACCCACGTCCAGCAAATTGATCCGCGGACACGATGCCTCGCCCAAAGAAACCAGGCGTCGAGCCGAAAAGGAGATCGCGAAACGGCTGCTGGTAATTTCATGACCTCTAAGTACGCGCGCATCCACACTAATCATGCGTAGGCCATGCAAGGCGCGAAAAGTAAAATGGTAAGTAGCTGTCTAAACACTGTCTGTCAGAAAGCGACAGTAACCTTGCCTCAGTGGAGAAGAAAAGCCATCGTGTACAAATTGTGAACGGCAAGGTGAAGCATGCGACTACAGCATTCGACTCACCTGGGGAGGTCGTGCAAGAAGGGACAAAATTGACACCTGTTTGGACCCGTCGAGCGCCACTGAGGGCAGCCCATATGAAGCATGCTTTCAAGTCGACGATACTTCCCGAATGTTCATGTCAACATCCGAATCACCAATGCAGTTGCAGCATGTAAGGTCCCCTTCGATCATCGCCCCTCAAATAACTACCTAGGACATTGACCCAATCACGATGCAGGCCATACTCCCTAGTGTCACCAGTGCAGGTTCAATTGAAGGCAGCTCTTTGTTCCAGAGCGATATACCTTCATCAGCACCATACACACAGCCACATTTTCAGAACACCTTTGATGGCCAATCATCTACAGCATCTGGCTTCAGCACGTTCAATACTAATGCTTCGGCTCTCGCCCCCACAAATACTACAACACCACCTCAACAAATGCCCGCAGACGTCATGTTCACACACCAGAAATATAGGGCCTTTAGCAGATCGCCTGGACCAACATACTCAGACTCGTATTCGCCAAACACAGCTTCGCCAAACACAGCTTCGCCAACTCCACATAGCCCTTATCGTAGCTTTCCTCAAACACCGGCATCAGTTGGTTCTGAAGGAGTTATCGCATATGCAGCATCTGCGGCACAAGACCCTGCTCTCTCACCTCCAAACCCGTGTCGTGTATCTGTGCAATCCCTTGTTCACGATCTTCAAAACACTAACCAGGGCAAAAGTGGAACACAGTATCCAATTGCTGATTCAGCCTCGACGACATACGGCTACGACCTGGGTCTCCCAGACCTGGACACCCCAAGGAACAATGACTCCTCAGCCATTGCCATATACAGCCCGCAAAACAATACAATCAGTTTCGACGGAGAAACTCTGCACGGCAACGCGGAATCCGAAAGCAAAGTCATGGCGTTCGAAAAGGGAGGATATTACGCGAAACCCGTACCCATTAGGATTTCCAAGTCGCTAGAGCCCTTGCCGGCTCTCCTCATGGAGAACCAAATGAACTTGATCTATTTTCACCACTTCCTCAATCACACAGCTAGGGTTTTGGTCCCACATGATTGCGAAAGGAATCCATTCCGACATATACTGCCCCAAAGTGAGTATCCACGCACATGATGAACAAACCTGCTGATATTTTCCAGTGGCCGTCAAGGATGAAAACCTTTTGAGTCTTCTTCTCGCTTACAGTGCTTCGCATCGGGCGCGCATGCTCAACCATCCCGAGCCTTCAAATCGCATCGCAGTCTGGGTACAAGACGTATTTCCCAGACTGCGACAGACGCTTCAAGAAAACCCAAATGAAGTTCCTGACAACACTCTGGCTTCAGTCATCATGATGGCGAGTTTGGAAGTTATCTCCCCGGGTACATTCGAAGTACCTATATCCTGGAAGGACCACCTCACTATGGCGCGCCGGATGATTACCCAGCGCGGTGGACCCAGAGGCATGAGTCGAAAAGATCTCGTAGCCTACTTTCTCTCACGCTGGTTCGCCTATCTCGATGTCGTAGGCTCGCTGAGCGGACACAAGAACGACATGCCAGTTGGATCTTTCTACTGGTCGAGCGAAAACGAATCTGCAGACGAGGACCTCGAGATCGACTGCCTAATGGGTTTCACAACCCGTTGCGTTGGCAGTCTGGCGCGTATTTCCGAACTGTCCAAACACTGCGAACCACATCGTATTGATGAACACGGCAATGAGCGCGAAGATTGGGTGCCAAGCCAGGATGTTGTGGAGGAAGCGATCAGTATTCGACGCACACTGGAAGATGGGCTGTCAGACCGGAATATCCGAAAGGCATGTCGCCATAGATCAGACGCTCTATCCGAGTCTGAACGAGCGTGGGATACGACAGAGATTTATGCGACCAACGAACTTTTCCATTGGGCTGGTCTGATCCAGTTGCATCGCCGTGTGCTAGGGAAATCCGCATTGGATCCAGAGGTGCAGCATGCGATTCGGGCGATTGTAGAGTTATTGTTCAAGATCAGGAGGGGTAGTTCGGCAGAAGCTTGTTTGCTATTTCCCATGTTTGCTGCGGGCTGCGATGCACAGGATGCGGGGCAGAGAGAGAAAATCCTGGATCGGTTAAGGGGGGTGGAGGGTTTTGGACTCAATCAGGTGAGTAGTTCCTGGATACATTTTGGGTTTGGCCGCACTGACATTGATGATAGGTGCCAAAAATGAGCACGCTCATGAAGCGTGTGTGGGATACTGGAAAGCCATGGGAGTCACTGGTATCTGGTGAGTTCTTCGGCTGAAGCTTATCGTGCCTAGAGAGATACGAAGATATCCTGATACTGGATCGCCGACACCGTTGTGTACCATGTCCAGAGCAGCACGCTTGTCCTGGATTTTTGAAGCATTAAGCAGCGACATACAGAAACCCTGTTATGTCGGTGCGCACCAGAGAGTACCCAAAGCTACTGCCTTTGTTGAGTACGTGAAGTAGCTGCATACACTCAAATCAGCAAAACTACGAGAAAGATCGAAGCAGCAGAGACCACGTTTACATGGAAGATGACGCAAGCATGAAGAAAGAGAAGAAGATTGAAATGAGAGCGAGAACAGGTTGTTCAAGAGAGTATCGACACGAACGAAGGGAGCTCGGGGAAAACGAAAGTTGGCAAGAGATTCGATAATATGTCCATGTACAACACAACCAAGGTTATTGTTGCAGAGAAGAAAGGGTATCGCCCATGCATCAATTACGTATCCTAATAATAATACACATGCCAACATCAGCCCATCATCAGCCCATCACCAAGGCCACCACCCCCCACTTGCAACCTTCCCCACCGCCCTGGTCCCCCTCCCCACCTCATCCGCCCCCTCCCTCACCTCCTCAACCACGGCGTCCACCGCCTCGCCCAACTCGTGCTTCTCCCTCTGCAACACCTCCGCCGCCCTATCCCACTTTTCCTGCGCCGCCTGACTCTGCTTTTCAAGCGCTTGCTTTAGTTCTTGCTGCAGCTCAGCAATTTCCAAGCGTGTTTCATGCCGTTCTTCGACGGTTTCGAGCTTGTACCAGATGTAGTAGGCGAGTTGGTATGTGAAGAGGGCGCCGAGGAAGCATTTGAGGATCGGGGAGCCGAAGGTGCCGTAGTATGCGCCCTATTTGCGCTTCGTTAGTGTACAAGATTGAAGGGATGAGGGAGGAGGTGGTGATGGTGGTCGGTTTGGCCAACTTGCGAAAGGGAGGGTTATGACGTACTACTCGCGATGGTTCTTTGCGTGGCGGTGGTGGCAACGGAGGTTGTGTCTCAGTTGCGAAGCTTCTTTGCGAAACCCGTACTGCTGGTCTTGTCTGTATCGCTGCTCGTATCCATAGCGACCGTGTTACTCGGGTGGTATTCATTGCGCTGCTGGTGTCTTGTGTTGAGATTCCCCACTTCGCACGCTCTGCAAAGGAAGTGGATGGGACCTAGGAAACCGGCAAGGGAGATGCAGAGGAAAAAGAAGTCAGGGATGTCTTGCGAAGATGCAGTATATAGTGGTGATGCGATGCGTACTCTTGCGCTACGGCGACTCGATGTAGAAGTGGGTTGTAAAGCTCTCGTACGGTGCCTGAACAAAAATCACAAAGAGTAAACCTCCGCGCTCCATCTCCGCAATACGCGAACCACGACGTCGCAACCCTGCCACACCCTAGCGCCAGCGGCGGGAACGCGGTCCGTGCATGGGTCTCATTCCAAACCGAACACCTTGCACAACCCGACACCCTCTTGGACCCTGGAATTGCCGCCCACAGCCTCTCTCACTCCTCCTTCTCTCTCCCACCCCCTCTGCCTCACCACATTTTCCCCGTGTCTCTTCTTCTAGCATCACACCGGCTTCACCCCTCGAACAACCGCAACAGCAATCACAATGGTACGCAATCGTCCCCCCCCTTGCCCTCTGGCCAGTCCCCCGAATCCAAACTCCTACGAGACCCTCAATTTCCCTGTCCCTTTCTTTCTCTTCCCACACGCAAGTCAGACGATATAGAGGAAATAGCTAATAGAAGCGAACTACCGTAGGCGCAAACACCGCAGCAACGACAAGCAAACATGCGCTTTGCCAAAGCGCAGGAGAAGAAGATGGGCAAGCCTGAATCAAACGTGCCAGTCGTCAAGAAGCAAGGGCCGCAGAAGTCGCCTATTAGCAAGCCGTGGATTAGTATGTTTTTGAAATATCCTGCTTTTCTATTCTCTCTCCGAGGCGGGCACGCGCAGAGCGGAGCAGAACGAGCAAAGATCAGAGAGCATTGTGGCTAACGCATGTGTGTATTTACAGTTGTACTGGCATTCGTACTTTGCGGCGGTTTGTTGTTCGAGGTTCTTCGACTCTTCTTTTAAAGAAAGAGAAGACTGGATACGGTGTAGGCGAACGCGCGCATACGAACTTCGGTATGTCGATTAGACGGGAGTCCGATCGTGAAGGAGACATTGGAACGTACATATGTATGTGGCAATAAGAGAGATGTGAAGAGGATCCAAGAAGAAGAAGAAGAAGAAGAAGAAGAGGAGGAGGAGGAGGCCAATTGGCATATTCTTTCGTACAATTATCTAGGGTGACATGGCGTTATTTTGATATAGGGAGGCATGCATGGTACACCCGAGATACCAAGTAGCATCTCGAGGCTTTGTTTAGTCAACAAGTAAAAGAAGTCGCCTTTTCACAAGCGTTATTTTTGACGGTAATCTACTACTCGGCAGGCGCATCTCCGCCTTCGTCCATGACTACCGTCCTCCTCTTCTTTTTCTTTTTCTTGACCTTGGTTTCGTCTTGGTCTCCAGCCTCGGGTTGCCCCTGATCAGCCTTATCCTGGCCATCACCGTCACCCTCAACAGCCTTGGCCTTCTTCTTTTTCTTCTTCTTGACAGGCGTCGTCTTTACCTCTTCTCCATCTCCTCCTTCGCCGCCATCAACACCTATAGTAGCCTCTGGTGCCATTTCATCCGGCTCGTCTCCCTCAACAGCAACCTTTCTCACTTTTCTCTTCTTCTTCTTTTTAACTGCAACTTCCTCCTTGACCAATAGTCTCTCACTCGCACGCTGCATCTCTAGTCGCAAGCGCTCCACCTCTTGTAGCGCTCGCTTCATTTCCGCATCTTCCTGCGCTTTGCGTTCCATCTCGAGCGCTGTAAGCTTGCGGTTCGACGGGGCGTCGTCATCGTCCAGGCTCAGCGCACCGAGACCTGAACTGTCGACTTGGAGGAGCGACTTCTTCGCTTTGCCCGGGCGCCCCTGCGTACTGTCGTCTCTGCTAATAGAAGGTTCTTGTGCAGCAGATCCGAGCGTCTCGTCGCCCATGATATCCACTTTGCGTACCGGTTTGCGAGGGCTCCGTGACCGCGGAAGGTGTTCAGAGGAGGAGCCCTTGCTGTCAAGGTTGAGCTCCATGATCGGGATAGAGTCAATATCCAGATCGTTGTTCTCCCTGTTTCCATCGCGTACGATTCTACTGAGAGGTGTCACTGGTCCGCTGTTATCCCCTTCAGGATCAATATAAAATGGGTCATCTTTGTATCGCTCTCTGCGTTCTGCTTTCCGGCGAGCAATGATATCTGGATCCAAATACTCATCTTCTGTAGCATTTTGATAAGATGTTGACTCCTTTTGCGAGCCATCGAGGCGGTCTGCCGCTGGCGCTGCAACGGTTGGTGCTTCTGTCAATGCGGCAACTGGTTCAGAGTATGCGGCATAGACATCATCACCTTCTTCTGTCTCAAAGCCTTCCGCATCGACTGCAGAAAGCAGATGCTGCAGATTGGGGTTGATGGGCGTATCGAGATCTAAATCCTCAGGAATGGGAACCTTGCGTTGCGCGCCAGGGGCTACTGGATTCAACTCGGCTCCAGAGAAGAGGGCAGGGATGGCTTGCGTAAGGAGGAGGGGTGGATCAGTAAACTCGTTCTGATCTGCACTAGCAGCAGTTCCCGACGCGGCTTCTGCGGCAAGGCGCATTAGTTCTAGGTACTCGACTGAACGTTCCTGCACCTCAAGGCTAGGGTGTGTAGACAGTGGCTCTAGAAAGTGGATGATTCGTGCCATGAGAAGAGACATTAGTGTCTTGCGTTCCGGAGTCCATGATATTTGATCGCTTCCGGCCATGCTGGAGAAGACTTTGGGTATGGCCTGCAGGTATATGGCGAGGGTTTTTGAAGGTAGCTGAAGCGAAGTAGGATGCAAGAGGGAGGTCATGACAGGTTCCGGTCTAGTGAGGTAGCGGGCATACTCGCCCACAAGCCAGCCAGCATACTCAAGCGCGCCTTGTCCGCCGTTACCTGACGTAGGAAACATCTGGTCCCGACGGTCAACAAGAACAAGTGACTGTGCAGCTTCGATAGCTTCTGGCCGAACGCTCTTCACCCGTATGGCGACATTTTGTAGCTCACGCCCAATACCAGCACCAATCTCATCAGCATGTTCTGACTCTTCCTCCTCCTCTTCCATCACCGAAGTTGCCTTTGTAGCTGGTGACACGCGGACAAGCTGGGTGAGAACATCAATGTACCATTCAAAGTCGCTAATGTTGCTGTATGTATCACGCGAGCACATTTCCAGAATCCTCCGAATCACGCTTGTGCGGTAGTCATCTGGCAAGGGGGGTGGTTGGTCTGATTTTTGTTCGTGTTGTGGTAGATTATCTTCGGCGTCTGAATCGTCGTCACCATACGCTGTGACACCAGTCAATCTGCCTCGGTCGTTGTTTGGATTGTCTACTGCGGTCGCAATTGGCGCATTACGTAGTTGTCGCATCAATCGTCCTACAATGGCTGTTAAGTTATCAGCATTGACCATGCCAACGACAAGATCCAGAGCGCGCATCCGTATTGAAATGTCGGGATCGTCAATGCATTCAAGAATGACGTCTTGTTGCTGAGAGACAAGATAGGGATGGGACGTGACAATCTTTTCGAAAGCAAGCAATGCGACGTATTTTACTGCAGAATGGTGAGAAGTTGAACCTTTATTTCAGTATGTTTTCGCTTACAATTTGCGTCACCCTCTATTATCATCATGCCGCGTAGTTTGCCAACGCACAACTTTGCAACCTCTTCTCCTTCCGTGGTGCCTTCGACAGCTTCTAGAATGCCACCCTGGATGATGCCACTGATACATTCGTACAGCAAAGACATGGCAGATGTTTCCCGAATAATTTTAGTAAGAGGTGGGAGGAGTTTCTTGATCAATCGGGGTTCCAACGGAGTCAAAGTAGCAAACTGGACGCTGTTAGCAACGGGTTGTACAAGTAACTTTATGGCACTTACAAGTTTGATAAGCTTAATGGCCATCCAGTTGTTTCCTCCTTCGACCAAGAGATCGAACAACCTAGGCGCTAGCGGCAGAAAGTCTTGAGGTCGCCTCCATCCCAACTCACACACGACATTGACAATGGCAGCCGTCACGCTCGGATCCTCATTGTCGTCCAACAAACGTTCCTTGATCTTGGGCCATGCAGGTCGTAGTGTCTCGGGGTATACCAGGGCTAGTCTGTACAGCGTAACGACAGTCTTCTTGCGGACCATTGCGTTAGAGTGGGTGAGTCGCGGTATCAAGTCTGACAGGACTGAATTGGCCATGCTGGGATTGATGACGTGCGGGATGGCGCCAAGCGGAAGCGCAATGTACTGGGGGCTCGAACTCATAATATCCTTTTTGAGCTGGTTCTCTGCTAGCACCAAAACCTCGGTGTCCCTGCGAAAGCTCTGTACGGCAGCCAGATATCCTGTGCGCTTTTGCTTAAACTTTGAACTCGACATGACTTCCAAGACGTTGAAGCTGGCCCAGGACATGTCATGGCCAAACATCTCAAGGTAGGTGAGCTTCATGAGGGCCGTGGCCTTGAGGTCCATGTCGTTTGTGCGAATTTCCTTGCGGCATTCTTTTATGCTTTCGGCAATGTACTCGCGCTCGTTTCCCTTGTGGTTGCGCAGGCCTCGGATGAGGTCGAAGAGGGATTTCTCGAACCTGGAAACCGATTAGCGTGCGTGGTTTGAGGAACAGAGATTGAGGGATGGCGAGTACATGTTTGCGGGTGCTCAAGGGAGCAAGCGCAGTCGTGCTTCGAGGCGTAGGAGGGCGCAAGGAGGGGCAGTTTGGCAGAAGGGTGTTAATGGTGGTGGGCCAACCGGCATGATCATTGGGATGGGGCAGACATGAGGGGGGAGATGACTGAAGGCATAGGCGACGGCGGAGAAGTTGTAGGAAAGTAGTAGTTTTTTGTGGAGATGAAGGCCGCTTTCCTCTCTCTTCCTCTCTCTTTTTCTCTCTCTGGAAAGTCAAGGACGACGTACAGTCGTGAATGGCAGTGGAGACGCCGACGGCGGGCGGCAGGACGCTACCTAGTTTGGCCGAGCGGAGCTAGGACAGGGCGTCCAGCACAGCTCAACTCCACATTCCACCTTGCAGACCATCGCCGGACCCCAACCTTGACGACGCCGATTGCAGCCATGTCACACGCCAATCTGCTCTCGCCGCCCTCGCAAATACCGCCGCCCACTGCTCTGGCCCTCTCGCAGAAAGCGCCCCTCATCCTATCATCGACTCCCACATCATCGCTACCCTGGCCGCTGTCACTGCTCTTCTCTCGGGAAACACCGGAGACATGGACCATCCACGAGAACCTGTTCCTCTCGACGCTGCGCACCGGTGACGAGAAGGCCGCCCTTGACATTCTGCACCGGCTTGAGGCGCGCTTTGGCGACCACAACGAGCGCATCATCACGCTGCGCGGCATTTACAATGAGGCCACGTCCAAGACAGACGCCGACCTACAGAAGGTCTTTGATGCATACGAGAAGATCCTCAAGGACGACCCCACCAACATGAGCATCCGCAAGCGACGGGTTGCCGTGCTCAAGGCGCTGGGCAGGACACAAGACGCCATTACGGCAGTAGCGGCACTCTTGCACAACAGCCCCACGGACGCCGAGGCCTGGGCCGAAGCAAGTGAGCTGTATGCCAGCACCAGTGCCTGGGGGCAGGCCATCTTTTGTGCAGAAGAGGTACTGCTCATCACGCCCAATGCCTGGACTGTGAGTTGAATCCCATTCGCCTCCCATTGGCATTGTTCCCCATTGCTGACCCTTGGATTGCCAGGCCCACGCCCACATTGCAACACTCCACTATCTCTCCACCGCCGCCAACAACCCACCCAACTTCTCCTCATATGCTCTAGCACTTAAGCATTTCTGTCGCTCCGTCGAACTCAACGACTCGTACCTGCGCGGCTACTACGGCCTCAAGCTCCTCACCTCCAAGCTCAACAACACCCTCCTCTCCGACCCCGCCACATCATCATCAGCAACCACCCGCCGCGAAGACTCTGACGACGTGTCCCTACCCAGCCCCGAAATCATCCGCAAGCTTGAGGAAATCGCAACAAACAAGCTGGCCGAAATGATTCGGAATTACAAATCCGGTAAAAAGGGCTGGCAAGGGTTTGAGGAGGCCGAGATCATTGCTGCCCGGGAACTGTTGGATCGAGATGGTTAGATTCAACCCCGGTGGTGTCAAGGCAAAGCAGTGAAAGGAAAAAAAAGGAAGAAAGAAGGTGAGGAAGAACGAAGGAAGGCGCACCATTGATCATGACATGATTATGTAAAAGATATGATCACGAATCAAGGCGTTTCTACGCGGCCGCGGCGGCGTCTTGATTATTATTCTTTATTTTTTTTATTGTTGTTCTCTCTTGTTGAATTGTAGATCCCCCGGATTCTACTTTTCCACACCCCCATCTGTGTGTGTGTCTTCTCAATGAAGAGATGGGGTTAGATGAGACATGAGCGAGTACAGCAGCGGAGACATTAGAGGAGAGAAAGAGAATAGTGAACTAGATATCCCCCCTTTTTTTCTCCTTCTTCTCTATCCACTACACCATCTCCCTCTTTTTTTTCTCTATAGTTAATGTCACATACATATGCTGTACGCATGCCAGATGCAAACTCGCAAACATGTTGATATGGATCTTGTCTGTGATACCAATAGCATGATTTTTAGTCAATTCGGATTCTTTGGCAAAAAAAAAACGAGTAACTATATATACCCGGCATGATATAAATCACACATGTTCCACTTCAAACGAGAACCAAATGAAGAATATACGCATTTCTTCTCTCTGTCATCATCTAATTCATTCTCTCTCTCTCTCTCTGTGCACATTCTCCTTTTCTATACCGCCCGGCACCACACGCCCACTCCAAATAAAAAAACCCCAATCCCCATTTGAAAAAAAAATCCCATACATACATACCCAACGTCTAGATGCAAAAGGATAGAATCCACACAAAGACCCTGTGCACATACAAGAGATGCGAATAGAACAAATGAGGAGAAGCCGTGTGCCAAAAAAAACCCGGTGAAGAAGAAGAAGAAGAAGAAGAAGAAGAAGTGAGGTTTGGACCAAAAAAAATGGAGGTGCAAAACAAAGATCCCGCTACATGATTACATATTTTTTTGTTCCCTCCCTCTCCCTATCTCTCCTACTTCCACCCTGAACTTCATCCCTAAATTCCCAAATTCTCCTTTTTTTTCTCCTCTCCTTCCATTCCCCCAAAGCAAAGAGAAACAAGAATTTCCCCTCAAAGGGACAATCGGAGAGTACATGAACCTTTGTAACGAGAGAGAAAAAACCGAAATGAACAACAGATGTGTGTAAAGAAAAATAAACGCCAGATGTAAATGCAACATTATCCAAATGTACAAAAAGTTTCGAGTCCTAGGGATTTTCCCCCATAAAAAATTCCCAGGACCCATGGGGAAAAAAAAGGGCCCACGAAAAATCGCTTTCGTGTATTGTCAAAAGAGTAAAAGGTTTTCTTAAAAAAAAGGAAGTGTTTCCTGGATCGCATTCTCTCCATATCCATTACATCCGTATTATGTTGCTGCTTTTTGGTCTCTCTCGCTCTTCAAACATGCGTTGGGGGTTATGTGAGGGGGGTAAAATAATCGAAATGCGTATATGTGCGTGAGCCGTGTACGTACGACGTCTATATGTTGAGTCCGCGTGTAAGGTCCTCGAGGCCTGAGCTGTTGTTCTCCTTGCCTCGGGACTTGTTCTTTTTCGCAGCCATCTTGCCCCAATCTTCGTCGCCTTCATCAACTTCGGCGACGCTGACCTGCGGCCCAGGGCTGCCCTTCTTCAGTATGCCTTTGATCGCACCGGCTCGACTCTGGTTGGCGCCTCCGCCGACTTGCAGGGTCATCGAGGTTCCGTTGGACATGGCATCCGAGTGATTTGCGACCGGTCGATACCTAGCGGACAAACCAACGTTAGAACGCTCGGATGGTGCGATGGAGGGAGTGTACCCTGGATGAGGGCCCATAAGGGACATTGTACGCTGCTGCTGCTGCGGGGGTGGTGGTGGGTTTCCGCTGCCTCCTACAAACGACATTGTTCGGCTCTGACTACCGGGTACGTTGAGGTAGTTGGCGGCGCCGCCACCACCAATGGTGCTGGCTGCATAGCCGTTGTTGGACATGGCCATGGACATGCGAGGATCTTGCTGGGGCTGCTGCATCATTTGAAGCTGCATCTGTTGCATGGCCATCATTTGCTGCATCTGCTGCATCTGTTGCATCTGTTGCATGTAGTCGCTCCCTTGCACCATTGGGTATCCCATCTGACCCATGCCCATGCCCATGCCCATACCCATTCCCATGCCCATTTGGCCGCCCATACCCATTTGGCCGCCCATCATGTTCATCATCGGGTTCATGCCGTTCATGCCGTTCATGCCGTTCATGCCGTTCATACCATTCATCATGGGCATGTGTGACATGCGCATAGGGTTCTGGGATTGGCCGTTGGCATTCATCTGCTGGCCGAGCATACCGGTAAAAGGCCCAGCTTGGGGCTTCTTGGCCGAACCACCGCCCATGTACTTTTGCTTGGTCATGTCCCGCATCTGAATCTGATCTACAAGCGAGGGCTGCGATAAGCCGGCCTCCTGGTATACCACATTGTGAGGCATGGGCATGCCGCCAACAACCGAGTCACCCGCAACCGATGCAGGGCCTTGAGCGAAGCCGTTGAAACCCATTGACTCGCGATTTGTCGGTCGGATCAAGCCACCACCAATGACGGAATTGCTGTAGGGATCCTGGGGCAAGTGCCGGGCAAAGGCGGGAAGGCTCATGTTGTTGACTCCACGCTGGCTCATGGCTCCAGCGGAGGCTGGACGATCTGGTATATAAGACGGCATGGCGTTTGTTGGCTGGCTGGGATGCCTATTGCGGGCTTGGCTGGGAAAGCCGTGCTGAGCAAGGATGCCCAAGGGCACGTCCTCGTCCTCCCACTCCTCTGCCTTCATGGATGTCTCGGATGGGAAACCCATGGCGTCGGGTCCAGACTCAGCTGGATTTCCCGAAGCGGTAGTTGAGCGTTTCATGGCCTCGCGAGCAAAGTGCATCTGTTGGTTCTTCCGCCTCATGAGCTCCTCTTCCTCTCGCCGCTTGATGGCATCCTCCTCATCTTCGTAGTCTTCCTCTTCAGAGTCTTCCTCTGGCGGCGGTTGCGTCATGGCCTTCTGTTGATACTCGCGGAACTCAGCTTGTGACATGACGCGTCGACTGACATCTGAAGCAGGGGCAGACAAGGCCTTGTTTTGAAGGGGAAGAGCCGCAGCCTTCCGTATTGTGGGTACTTGGTGCGGCGCAGGTGCAGGTTTTGATTGCGAGAACAAGTCTTCATCCTGCTTGTCATCGGACGACGACGATGCGACTGCTGGTGCCGGGGCAGCCTTTGGGGTGGTGTTGTTGTTTGTGCTCGTGACGGATCGTGAAGAGTATGGTGTCTCGTAAGAGTTTGCAGATGACGACGACATGGAGTTTGGCTTGGATTCAGGGGGTGTGTCGTGGTACGAGTTTCTTTCCATGAAGGACTTGCGGACGGTGTGGGCGTCGGGGTCGTGGAAGGTAGAGCTGTGGTGGAATGTAGGACTCTCGGAGGCGACAGGGGCGTAGGCCGAGTATTTGTGAGGCGGAGGCGGAGGCGGTGAGGCCTCGCGGTCCGAGTGCGACGAGGCCATGAGGTTGTCAGCGGAGTTGCGGCTGTCCCAGCTTTTCATCGGTGGTTCAACGTCAAACTGTGACTTGATCTTGATGGGCTCTGGCTGAACAGTGCGCTTCTCAGCAAGCAGTGAGCGTCCCGTTGGCTCGCGTGGTGCTTCGGGTGAGTCCTTGCGTTGGAGATGGCTGAACATGTCGTCCTCGAAGCCACCAAAGCTGAGGTCTGCCTCGAGCTTAGGGGGAACAGCAGTGCTGGCATAGCTGGACGTAGTCATGGCCCTATTTCGGCTACTCCACCCTGTGTTGGATAAGTCCTTGTATGACGATACGCCCGAGTTGGACTTTGGCTGCGGAGGGAGTTGCTTCTTGAGGGCGGCTACTGAGTGGGGGCCAGGGGAGCTACTGTGTTGCTGGAGGGCAGGACGGGGAATGTTTGTAAAAAGGTTATCGTCTGAACTGGCGTCGGTGGAAGAAGGGAGTGTAGATGTGGAGCCATGCTGCCCATTGGCATAGGGTCTCGATGTGGAAAATTGAGTCCCACTGCTTGACTTGCTGTCGCTAATTAAAGGGTCAGTCCGGCCGACGCTATGACTTAGCGGGTAGAGACTTACCGCTTAGACGAGCCTGGAGAATCGTCGTCAAAAGACTGGTTGCGATTCTTGCTACCCAAGCTGCTGAAGCGAGGGAACTTTGAAGAACGCTCCTTTTCCTGTGTTTTGCGCTGTTCTTTGGCTTTTTCCACTTCAGTCCTGCTTAGCAGACGGAAGCCGCCAGAGTCTGCAGGTGCAGGCTGGGGCGCAGGGGGAGCCGTCGTGTCCGGGCTGGTGGCAACGTCGACCTCTTCGAAAACATTGCCCTGCGACTTGCGGCGGGCGGTGAAGAGGCCGAGACCTGGCTTGACCATGGTGGTGCTGCTTGTAGTGAATTTGCAGTGGAAGGAGCGCCCGCCACTGGCTAGAGCGGCCTCTCTCAACCGTGAAGCGACAGTATCATGCACCCAGAAGGCAACTCGACAAAGGCGGATGCAGTTGGGGGGAGTATGGAGCGGGTGCGATGGATGCGATCAAGAGCCGAGGTGGTGCAGCGGCGGCGGCGGAGGATCAGCGGGCAGACGGGTGAGGGAGCGAGTGGATATCGTCTACAAGGTCGAATTAGTTGTGCATCAAACGAGCGTTGTCGCGTGGCGGCGTAGTATTGACCGAGAGAGGTGACGGGGGGCGCAGGCGCATGCGGAGGGAGGCGCAGACGGTGAATGGTGGTGGATGAGCTGAGTTGGACTGGTGTCTTCGTATCGCCGTGTTTCAACGACGGGACCGTGCTGGCTAGGCACAAATGGCACCAGGACCGGGTCGGTCATCGTCATCATTATCATGGCAACACGGGGGTTTGGATTGCAGCCAATTAAGCGGGAGGCAGTCAAGGCTGGGGGAGAATGGATGATCCGCTCATGCCAGCATCATAGAACGGTTCCTGGTGGATGAATGGCGACGGACTTACCGGGTAGGGGTGGTGAGGCGCAGGAGCAGAAGCAGGAGCAGCGCGGTAGTGTCTTGCAGCAACAGCAACAGCAGCAGCAGCAGCAGCAGCAACAACAAACACAAACGGGTGGGTGTCGACGAGGGCAGAGGCGGGCAGGTGGAGCAAACGGCTGGCCAGCGAACGAGTAGAGTATAAGAGAATGAGTGCACGGATGGCAGAAGCTGGCAATGGCTAAGGTATGGCAGACAGGCAGGCAAGCAAGCAAGCAGGTAGACAAGCGGGTAGGCAGACAGGTGGTAATAGCAGCAGCAGCAACAGCAGCAGTAGCAGCAGTAGTAGCAGCAGTAGCAGCAAGGGCAGCAGCAGTAGTCAGGAGTGCGCCGCCGTCAGCCAACCGAGCAACGAGCCTACTGTGTACTAGGGACAGATGGGGATCAAAAGGTACCGTTCCATAGCGGGGCGCCGTACGAGGCATAGTGCCGCTTGGACTCCATCGACGACTGCCCTTCTTGGGCACCGTCTGATGTTCTCAACTCGACCTGCAGCACCGCGTGTCTGTCCATCGTGGCCCTGGCCCTGGCCCTGGCCATTGTCGGTGTCATTGTCTGCCATTCATCAGCATGGCATGGCATGGCATGGCCTGGCCTGGATGGGAACGTGCGACGTCAAAGGGCCCCGTCTGGCACGTTGCCGTGTTGGTATTGGCGGGTGCTGTCGCCCAGTCCCAGTCCCAGTGCCAAAGCCAGAGCCAAAGCCAAAGCCAAAGCCAAAGCCAAACGGCAAACTGCTGGTCGAGGGGTGGTGGGACACCAAGTGGGCGGCTGCTAGGATGCTAGGGTTGGGATGCAGATGCACACAGACACAGACTCCATGTCAGGGACCCTCATGTGCACGCCAAAATTAGCCTGCACGCCTCCAACCCGGCCAGCCTACCACACGCGCCCCACGCCCTCAACGACAATCGTCGCATCGCCGCGTCGTCATCTGGCCTGCCCTCTGGCGCCCGCAAGCCCATTGCCGAAGACTGGATAGTCCCAAGGTACGATTTACACAGGCATACCTCTTTGGCTGCACCACCGCTCGCCGCCGGCCTGGTATTCGCTACCCAGCCCTCGACCACCCCAGCCACAAAGCAATTCCGATAATTCATAACAAAAACACGCCTTGGCATCCGCATGCCTGCAGCAGCCAGACCCACGGACTTTGCCTGCTCCTGCTTCTGCTTCTGCTTCTGCTTCCGCTTCCGTACCCTTTCCTGCGTTACCTCAACTCCCTACATGTCCTCCCTACACACGTGTCGACATGGCCGGCTGCAACACGCCTCTTGTCAAGCCAGCCGAGCTCATGCTCAGGGGGGAGCCGTCCACAGTGGCGTGCCCCATCCATGCCGCCTTCATGCGCCGCACTGACGCTGCTGCTAGCCTTTTTGTTCTCGATTGTACGCCTGCGACATGCATCTACTCTGCTGCTCTGCATCGCCCTCAACCCTCCTGTCCCCGGCATCCACTGCATCTCCCTCCCTCTAGTACTCACTTGCTATTACACTACTCCATCCCGCCATTTCTTCTCCAGGGGGCTGGCGCTGGCATCGCATACACACATACCACATACATACACTTACTACCACGTCCATCCACTCACACATACATATACGCGTACACGCGCACACACAATGTCGCAACCGCTTCTCTCCGCACGTCATGCTGACCACCACACTCTGGCCCTGCCCTCGCCCAAACCCTGAACCTTAGCTCGTCACGCATGTTTTTGCCAAATTTCTTTTTGATTATGCCTCTCGATAGACTGCTCCTCCCCAACCCCAAACCGCCCTCTGGTTCGCTACTGCACCCGCCACCCAACCCCGTTGCTCCGATGCATCGCATCGCATCGCTGCTGGCCTGCTGCAGGACATGACACCGTCATCCCTTAGCCCTCCCGCTCCTCGCTCCCTTAACACCCTCCAGCCTCTCTTGTCTCCCGCCCATGTTTTGCTCCAACCTCCACCCCGCTCACGAACGCGTAATCTGCCATACGTACATACATTTAGAGAGAAAGAAAAAACTCGCCAGGGGGTGGGGAGGCGGGGTGGGGGGGGCTGGCTGGCTGGCTGGCTGACTGGGTCATGCCATCGTCATCTGCATCTCCTTCTCCGTGCGTCCCCAACACACAACAGCATGGCCTTTGATCGATCTGCACTCTTTAGCCCTCGACCTCACCACCAGCCCTCGCAACTGTTGGGAAGGCCTGTCCGCACGTATTGCAAGCGGATGATCGCCAATGCTTTTCCCCATTGTGCTTTGCTCTCCCTTCGGCCCTTTGTGTCCATGATTACGTGTTCCGCCCTACCTAGTTTATTTTCAATCCCCCGATCCTTACAATTCCCACTCCCCCGCCCCGCTTCCTCTTGCCTAATCTCGCTTGATATCCGCATTCCATTTTATCAATACTTCCTTCCTGGTCCTTAACAACCTACGCATTGTCTACTTGAAAATTCTCCTCGCCAAAACATTTGCTATCCACTGATGCTGCCCACGCCGCTGAACAACTGGTTTTTTTCTTTTGCCTCTCTTGAAAAATAAAGCAATCATCGGCTTCACCGTTGGCAGGATCATTATCCTCGTGTGCGACATTCATCATCCTGGTATTAATTCTTGACCAACACGCGTTGCTTCTTCGCCTTGTTTTATCCTTTACTGGCCCCATACAGTAAACAAACCGAAAATCCTCGAATTGGAAAGAGTTACCCAGTCAAAATATACCGCTTGTGAATTGGGCAACTTCAACCATTCTTCACAGTTTTTCTTTAGTCTTTCCATGTCCAACCTCAACATTAATAACATGATGCCTTGCTATGCACGCTCTCAAGCCAACGTTCTCACGTTGATGTTCATGTCCACACCTATATCTATATCGTACTAACATCTATATCAACCAGCCCCGCCTGTCTATATCACTCAACTTCCTAAGCTTTCACATGAACAAAAATCAAGACTTATCCCATGCTTCCAACACTGGGCGCAACAGTATACACATGGATACCATCGTACTCGCAAACCTTGCCAAACATGGAAGAAACAAAAAAGAATCACACTTTACTTACCAGACATTGCGATATCAAGACATACCAGAACTTCACTTGGGGTATTCAATGGATGGCATCATGTGTCAATAGAGAAATTAGAAACTGTAGAATAACAATTTAACCTCACACCATGTCACGTGTAATATATTAAACAAAATCACGCCATGATATCCCTCAATTTGTCGTATCAAGCGGTGAACATGGCGTGTTTCTAGGCACAACAACAGAGGTAGTAATACTTAATACTAGATTAGCGTGTGTATGTACTGTAAAGGGAAAATTCCAGACACCCATATAGTAATGGTTAAATATAAGATTTTGGCTTGGAAATCAGTTTTGCAGTTAGTTTATCAAGGAAGAAAATGTTCAGAAAGCTTCTTCAGGACTAAACCTTTATCAAAATCTCTTTGCGTCTCGGAAATTGAAAGGAGGTTGGGGGTTGATACTACTTTGTGTTCAGATATCACGTGTTTTATCTGGTTTTAGAGGGGGAGAAAGATTCGAAGACAACCCTATCTGCATTTACTACCATGTCAAAATGCAAACCCGTGGATCACTTTAACCTTCTAATAAAATTATCTTGAACAGATCGATTACTGTAATAGATGTTACATATTATTCTATAAGATACTACTGGTTCAAACAACCTCTGCTTACACAATACCCACTTTTGCAACCACGGATACAATTTGTCACATTTCTATTATTACTTTGAAGTTCTATTCCTCTTCTACAACCACGGATACAGTTTATCGCATTTCAATTATGACTTTAAAATGATCTTCCCCTTCTGCAACAGATAAAACTAAATATCTTCTTCCTACCTTTGGACCACCAACACAACTTCAACATACTCTCCATTTCCCCTCTAAGACACTACAACACCACCAATTTCAAGACAGAACAATGGCCTCGACAAAAGGCCTTCCAGTCGAAATCTTCCTACAAGTATATGGCTACCTGGGGCCAAAGGACTTCAACGCTGCTCGGTGCACATGCCGAGCGTGGCTGAAGGCCAGTCTGGATAAGAATCTGCTCACGGTAATGATAGAAAGGGGTGGCTGGGCGGGCGTGGATACCAGCAGAGAATGGCAGTTGCTCAGCTGCCAACTTGCCAGAGAGTGTGCCTTGGCCCCAGGCCGGGCTGGGTTGGAAACAGAGCCAGTATTCACCAAGAGCTCGGAGGTGGATTTCGCCGGGCTGAGGGACAGCCAACCCGGTGGTGAACTAATCTTCACCACCAGTATCTGCTCGCGGTTCCTTTGCGTAGCCCAGGGAGCACTGATCTATATTTACCAACTCGACGCTGGCCGTCTGGTATATATGGCAAGTGTCGAATGCCCAGGACAAGTACTTGCCATCACCATGGGCCTATATGGCGGCAGATATGCCATTGCTGCAATCCTGGAAGACCGGATGGGCATGGTACGAAAACTTCCAGAAGAGTTATTTGAGCATGGCCCACAGGGGCAGGAGCAGGATCGTACGCAGTTCAACGCAATTCATATCCAGTCGAACAGCGAAAGGATAAGCATCACGGGCACCAATAACAGCGCCCTATATGAGCACAACTTGATCAACCAGATGTGGAATTCGATCGACAACGACTCGACAATCTACAGCGATCTGGGCTTTGAGGGAGATCCACCACGAAGCGTTTCTCTATGCCCCCAAAGCCAATGTGTAGTTTTCGGCTGTTCAGCAGGCCTGGACGTACAATGGATCGACGAGCCGTCAGGCCAGAGCCTACATCGCTGGTTTCCCCTAACCGCCCCAAGCGACAACGTCTACGTCCTCCCAACACGAACAGGACACGAATCATCAAACACACTCCGTATTTTCTCCAGTCCTGCCCACCTAGACGACCGCCCTCGCATAAAACACAGACTCCTCCTCTCCGACTACATTTACTTGTGGGGCTCACACAGATTCATACATACATCTCTCCTGCCAAACTCCATAATCTGCGACTACTACAACGTCATCCCCCTAAGCGACGGCCACCACATACTCTTCGTCGACCCCCCGAGCGACCGCCTCGTCCTAGGCACCGACGAACTCGCCAGCGGTACCACGGAGCTCGTTCGTAAAATCGAATTCATCCCCCCAACAAACGGGCAGCGACCGAGGCTCTACCGCGTCGCAGCAGACATGTCCGAGGGCGCACGCCTAGTGGCCGTCTACGGCGATATCATCATGTTATACTCTATCCCACCGGAAATATGCCGCTTTTCTCCTAACAACGAAGACCAAACAGATCGCCCGCTCCAACATGGCAGCAACCACTGGCTCGACTGGTGGGACGAACCGCGTGCGAACGAGGAGACTGCCGCGCTGCATGATCAGGGTCCCGCGTGGCCGCTTTCTTTACGCGGTACGCGCATAACTACACTGGCGAATGTTTGTGACATTTCTGTGCAGACGCGCCCATGCCTTTCTATTTCGGCGGTTACGGATGCGGGGAAGTGCCAAGTTTGGAAATTTCCAAGGATCAGGGAGGCATTTGGGGTGGAGAAGATGGTGGTATGTCACAAGGGGCTCGTTGAATCAGGCTTGTAGGGTGAGGATTTCGTAAACTCATAACCAATTGCGTTACGTACGAGGGTATCAATAAAGCACAAATGAGCGAAGGAACAAAGCACAAATAAGCAAACGAGCAAAGTGCGTTACAGGAAATTGAGATCGTATGATGATACATAAAGGGGCATCGTGAGCGTAAGACCAAGGAAGGTGCAATCGTGTTAGTTCCAGTTGCCATCGGCACCATTTGTCGCTGAACTATCTGATCCACCTGGAGATGTTGCGGGTTTGTTGCTGATCCAAACATTGTCAAGCCTGGAGAAGGTCAGCATTGGTAGTCAATAGTGAAGTAGAAATACATACGGCATAACCAGACTAGGATTCTCAAAGCGTAGACCGCTCTCGCGGGCTTCGTCCAAGGTGAGCCTGCCCATGACCCTTCTACCATTTCGCCCAGGGCCAAAGGACTCTTCTTGTACGTCGCGACCCAGGTCAGATTGCTCTGGCCTTCGCAGGCTTTTGAGAGCGATAAACTTCATCAGTGGCCGATAGGTGCGTGCAAAAACAAACAAAAACCATATAGTGCCAATCACGAGCGGGGCTATGAGCACTGCGCGCCTGAAAGCCTTTTTCAAAGCCAATTGACCAGCGACAGTGATCTGAAAGAGGACAACGCCTACAATGACGCGGTCACACATCATAGTCCAACCCTTTCCAGTCGAGTGTTGGCGATGCTCCATGGCATACAAGAGCTGATATTTGTGAACATAGTGGCCAATCATGAAATAGACTAGGCCAGTAAGCAAAACCTGCCAAGAGTCCTTTAATACACTGTAGACCATGCAAATGATGAAGATGAGAATCGTCTGTGGCAGGTAAAAACCGTAGCTGAAGACCGGTGGCTGCACAAGCTCAGCGTAGTCCCGAGGTGTTTTAGCACCCATCAAGTAGACCGGGTACAGGGAAAGAGCGCCAAATTCCAGTAGTCGGAACGGAAAGACTCCGAACCCTTGCAACATGATGAAGTTGGTGTAGAAGCCTAACAGGTTGGAAAGTGAGGTAGCCAGAGCGTATGCAATCTCTGTGGCACTTGTGAGTTTTTCGGCAAAGCGCTCAAGCATGGCCAGAAACCCGGACGCTGTCCCTAGGATAGTGAAGAGTATGAAGAAGTTGAAGAAGGTATAGAAGAAGTTTTTCGAAATGACTGATAACTCAACATCACCCTGGGAGATCATGCCTTGCTTGTTTGCAAGCCCTGCAAATCGTTAGCGTGAGTGGTAATCACTGCCGAGAGCCAGTCTACTTACAGTCGTATAGAAAAGGCACAGCTACATTGATCAGAGTCAATGCCAACGTCGGAAGCTGGGTGTTGACAAGCGATTCAAGAGTTTCATGCTTCTCCAACAGTTCTGCAAGCCCAGGGAAAACCCCAGCAATAGAACATGTGTTTAGAGCACCGGCAATGGGCACCAAAAGAACAGTCCAGAAAACGCTCAGAATGCCGATGACGACTGTAATGGACCAAGATCTGAACGTCCTTTGGGAACGAGTCAGATACGTGTTTGACCAGACAACATCTGACGGTGCTGGACAGTTTCTTGCCAAGAGTTGCAATGGGGAGGGGTCGAGTACGGCCTGAATCGCCATTTGAGCACTCGCAACGCTGTCCATTGTCACAAACGCCAGAGGCATTGGTTCAAAATCCTTCTTGCGCAAAGCTCTGATCTCGTCGTCGATTCTCCGGAGCTTCTCTTCATAATAGTCGATGGCATCCACTTTCCTGTATCTTAGCTTGAGAGGGCCGTACCATATTTTGATTTTCGGGCGCTTCTTGGTGTAGGGGACGATGTGGCTAGAGTCGCGATCTGTATCGCTCAGGAAACGGCTTCTCTCGTTGTCGTTGTTGCTGCCATCGGCCAAGGGCTCTGGTGGTCGTGGCTGGACTACCGGAAGAGTCTCGAGGCTGCGTTCCACCCTTCGGCTACCGAGATGAACAGTCCAGGCTTCCTCGAGCTTTCTGACAATGACACGCCTCTCAATAACCTTGTTATCCAGCTCCTTCCAGTTCTTGCACAGCGTTACACTCTCCACCGTTCCGATACCAAGATCCATGATGAACGCCTTGATCTTGTCCTCCGATCGAAGATCGACCGGAATACCGGAGAGCCGGATGGTTCGGTCGGTGATGGTAGTCTGGCCGCCAAGGTACTCTTGTCGAATCTCAATAATCCTTCTAGTTTCCGAGACAATCAAGTATAGGATAAGGGCGGTGAAGAGGTAGACGAAGACGAGATACATCCACAGATAGTCGGTGTAGCGTTCATATTCGGCGGCAAACGTAGTAAAGGTACTACGAACCTCAATGTGCTCGGAGCCTGGGTCTAGGCGGATTGGAGATTTCTTTCCCTCTTTGTCCTGGTGGGTATCATGTACTGGCTTGATGACGACGAGGGCGAAGAAGAGGGTGATGAGCAGAAACTTGATTGCCATTTTGAAGAATGCAAGGTATACATAGGCATCGAGGCCAGCCGAGGCCAGCACCTGTTCGTCGGTGATGTTCCATAGTGGTATCATCCAGCCGAAAAAGCTATCGGGGAGGTCGGGGAGCGCCGTTGCGAGGTTCTTCTGCTTCTTGCGCGCAGCGTAGAGGCCTTTCCATCGTGGGCGAAGAAACTGATGTCGCCAGTCAGCAAGCATGAAGCCGTTTAGAGGGTGCCAAAACATACGCAAAAGATAAGGAATGCGCCCACGCCTAGGCCTAGGGAGAGGTAGAGTTGGAGACGGACATCGCGTGGGCGCAAAGTGCCCCAGGGATCTCCAGTCTCGTCGGGGCAAGTTTTGTTATGTTTACTTATAGGTAGCATTGCCAAGATGAAAGTTGAATCGCCATAAACAGCGATGGCGTCGCTGGTTGTGGGTTACACGTGAAGGAAGGAGTCCGCCAGGGTTGGGCGATGTCATTATGCGCTAGCGGCCCAAGCGGGCGCAAGCCTCGAAGCCATGCCGCCTCACTATCTTGGAGTTCTTTATCAAGCCTTGACCCGACGTCTCCTGTCATTACGTGGAGGTGTGAGCTGCTTGTTGCAGTCAATGTGACATGATTGTTGTCATCAAGGGATAACCCGCAAAAGAATCACGCGGATAATTACTTTTTCGGGCAACATGTCAGCCCGAAGAGAGATGCTCAGAAGGTCCCATTGACTGAGGAGTCGCAGCTCGAAGCTGATTGGTTAGGACGTTTACACCATTTTCGTAAACCACATGATTAACACTAGCATCAAGCTGCACAACAGCTACTATATCACCGCAACTGTCCGAACAGTAATATCAGCAGATGATTGAGCGGTATTGAAAACGCTGCACTATCACTCAAATGGAAAATGGGATATATTGCCATGTTGCACTAAAGCTGAGCTGTACTGTTGGCGACATGTCCTTACATAGAAGGCTAACGCTGTTGTGGATGCATTCTCCGCTTGTGTCCTTTCTGTCTGACAGATCTAGTTCACAACGGTGAGATTTTATTTGTAACGTCTATTGATCGAACCGCAAACCGTGCACCGACCGATTGCTCTGCGGTCCTACTAAAGTACACTACCCTATAGTGTACATATGCGTGTAAGATTTCTATCGGTGGCCCTGCCGATCGGGTGCACGTGACCGAACGCAGCAAGTTGGCGTTTCACCGACGACGATCGCTATGTAACTATGAGTATGCAATGACGCCCAATGTTTTTGTGAGAATTTTCTCTCCTAAAGGAGGGTCCAAGTTCACCAGCTGAGTAAGAGTACTAGTATGAAGACCAGGATTTTGGTGAGGGATATTTCACAAACGTCCCAGATGTGCCTCTAAACAGCCAACCGCATGTAGCAAGTATAAGCGCAGCGGCATTACTTTTGTACAGCAGGATGGGAGCCGGGAACAGGATATCCGGTGGAACCCGTACAGACTCGGGACAACATGCCCCGTTGACGTGACGGCCCGAGAAACATGTGTGCTAGTACAAAAGAACAGAAAGAGAGTGTATATGGGTGGAGCCATGGAGACAACGCAAAGGGGAGTCATGTGCTGAATAATTGGATGTGCATGATTGGGGACATAACCAACGGTCCCTAGCTGACTGATGTCGAGTAGGTGATGGAGGGAATGCTTGTAGCGCCTCGTCGACGACGGTACAGTCTCCGTCAAACATGCATAGCCAGTGTTCCGGAGCAAGAGTAGTCAGAGTCGTCAGCAAAAAAGTTTCAGCCCCTTTGTCCCTGTTATGGGAAGTAATAGGACGAATCCATGTGTCGCACTAACGTGCCACCAATAAGCCTTGCGGCCCAGCTTGGCACCGAAGCTTGGCTGAGATCGATGCCGGGGTAGTAGGATCGCGATGGCAGACGGAAACAGGCCCGAAGGTATCACCACAAGCGCTCGGCTCGGACAAACAGTGGACGGGAGCGTTATGGTGGGGTTGGGCACAGCAGTGGTGGCAGTGTTGACAGTGTTTGCAATGCTGGCCACATCAACAAGACAAGTACTGTAGCAGACGTCGTGGAGGGATTCAGCTAGTGGTGGTGCGAGGAGGCGTGAGGAGGGGGAAACAGAGTTTGCGGGCGCTCCTCCCGTCGAGCGTGACAGGCGAGGGTAGGATAGCGTTCTCTTGCCGACACAGCCAGTAGGAGTAGCGGCGCCGGGGGGATGTGATGGACGGGGAAGCTGGGCCGGCGTATTTGCAAATGCACACAGGTGCAGGCATGGGATGGCGTGCAGGCTGAGGAGGGCGGTCTAGTTCAGTCTCGGGTAGAGGGCAGCAGTGTCTGGCATCAAATAACAGCTGGTAGCCGCCCGCAAACCATCGAGAGCCCAAAGCCGTCCGCCTTCCCTCGCCCACCAAACACGACGCTGCGCATGCTCCTTGGCACGCCGGCTCGACGACACTGTACTGCGCCAAGAGCGGTGCGGCTCTGAACAAGCCTTGTGCAGCGATCCAGACGGTACGTAAGAGCGACGATCCGTCCAGTCTTCCTGTCGAGTACCCCACTTTGAGCTGGTGTGTGGATGTGTGCGTGTGTACTACATGTTCAGTGTCATATATATATACATGGACATATGCATGCCATGTGGCCGCACCGTGCTCGTCGGGCTGGATTGCCCACGGCGACGCTAGAGAGCACTGCCACCATACCATCCCTCTCCCTCCCTCCCCGCGTGGGTCCCGCGATGCCTCCGCAGCATACCGCTCTTCCTGCGCTTCACTGCTGCTGTCCGCAATGCTGACCACGCCCAAGCAATATCCAGTCTGCCATCACAGTAAATCCCACCCGCTACAGGCTGCGCCACAGCCCCCAGTCCACCTGAGACGATTGCGCGTCGCCGTCGAGGGCGCCACTCCCCAAGCCACTGCTGCTCCTGCTCCTGCTCGCGCACTCATACGCCATATGTCCTCAACCTGAGCGCGTCCCCTGTCGCCGCTGCAGTCCCTTTTCCTCTGCTGCCACCCTCGACCCCTCCATCCCATTCTCGCCGCCGACTCCTGGCCCGTCGCCCGCCGCACCCCTGGCCGGCTGCTACTGCCCGTTGGACCGCAGACACACAGACATCGCGGGCGGCCGCACAATGCGCGCACCACACGGAGTATGACTTCCAGCCAGACACGCTCCTCTGCTACGCCGTCCTCGCCAATCTCCGCCAGGTCCTTTCTGTCCCGCTTCAAGTCGCCCTTGTCCTCCAAGTCGCGCAACTACACCGAATTCTATATCCAGTCCGACGACCCCCACCGCCACTACACGCCCGGCGATGTCATCAGCGGCACCGTCATCATCAAGATTGTCAAGCCGCTACGCATCACCCACCTGGTCGTCTCCCTGCACGGCTATGCCCAGGTCTTCAAGAACCCAAACACCCCCGGCGACGCCTACAAAAACTATTGCTCCAGCGTCGGTAACGGCAGGGCGAACAAGGCAGGCAGCTACTTTGGCAATGGCTTCGTCTCCCTGTTTGAGGACGAGGTGGTCTTGTGCGGAGAAGGCAGGCTAGCCGAGGGTATATACCACTTCAACTTTGAGCTTGAATTCCCCTCCAAGGGCTTGCCTAGCAGCATCGACGTAAGCCGTCCTGACGTGTAGTAACTGACGCGCTTGCTAACTGTAGAACGCAGTTTGAGCGCGGAACTATATCTTACATGCTTAATGCTACCCTGACCCGCCCCACCACAATATCCCCAACTGCTTCATGCGACACCAAGGTTTACCTCACCGACACAATCGACATTGCGCCAGTTCCACAGCTCAAACCCCGAATCATCTCACTTGAGCCTATATCCAGAAGAACACGCAACAAGCCCTCGCGAAAACGGCCAGCCGAAGGAGGAGTACCACAAACACCCGACGGTACAAATCCTCCGCCAGTCGGATCCGTTCTGGACCGATCTACCACCACCGATGAGACGGAAGGTGCGCGGAGTCCTTCGCCAAGCGACGTAAGCTATGGGAGCCAAAGAAGTAGCGGAAACGCTTCTGGAACAGAGTATGGTGTTCGCTCAATCAACACCGTCACAGACGGATCCCCTTCGCAAGCTGGCAGCCGGACGAACCCCAAAGGCAAGACCATCACGGCAACGATTGACGTACTCAAGGGAGGTTTCCTGAGGGGTGATCAAATACCAATCAAAGTCACAGTAAATCACACCAAACACATCCGCAGTTTGAAGGGGATCATAATTACCTTGTATCGCCTTGCACGAGTCGACATGCATCCTGCGCTTCCGGTTGTTGCTAATAGCAAAGGAGACAAGACCAAATCGGAGGATTACTATCCAAAATCCAGAACCGGCCTCGGCGGCTTGTCCCTCTCGTCTGCCGGCTCGAGTCATACTTTCCGGAAAGACTTGTGCCAATCTTTTGCACCTCTTTTTGTTGATCCCAGGACTCTAACGGCCGAGATAAAATGCTCCGTGCGCGTGCCCGACGAGGCTTTTCCGACAATATCAAATGTTCCAGGCGCGATGATCTCATTCAAGTACTACGTTGAAGTGGTTGTGGATATCCAGGGTAAGTTGACTGGTCTTGACCGAATGGTCGCAAACGCTGGCTTAGTCAATGTACCATCGACCGCTGGTGGTTCCGCTACGGCAGGTGACGATACCTCGGGCAGCATGTTCTCAACTTGGGGCGGTGTCTTCGTGGATACGGACCAAATACGGCGTGAGAAGGGTATTGTATCCGCTTTATTCGAGGTCATTATTGGCACAAAAGACAGCGATCGTAACGGGAAAAGGAAACAGACACAGAATTATTCGGGTCACAACGATGCCTACAACGACTTTCATCATGAAGGTTACGTTGATCCAAACGATGAGCAGGGATACGACCCATACCATTATGGCTACGACGAAAATGGCCAATATTATGACTACGGCTACGACCAGGCCTACGACAGTGTTCCTGGATATGAACAACACGGCGCAGGCGCAAGTACTGCTTTCCCAGTGCCAAGAAGCGTGCCGGAGGAAGAGCACGGGATATCGGAAAAGGAGCGATTACGGCGAGCGGAGGAGCGCCTGTTACCTTCCCAACCACCAGACGCCGCTGGTCCATCCTGGCCTCTAGTTGGCGAGCAACAAGGCATACCAGCTTCGGCGCCCGTGTTACCCGAGGAAGACGATCCTCATCCTTCCTATGTAGTGAGCTCATCTTCGTCAACTCCAGCTCACCCTCCTCCGCCATTTCGGGCTATATCATCACCGGCAATGTCCTCGCACTTGCCAACAGCGGCTTCATTGCAACGTCGGGTTACAAATATTGGTGACGACGGAACAAGAACTTCCGCGACCGGATCTTCGCATGCTCTACGCTTAGACCATCAGGCATCCTCAGCCAATGGCAATGGAGACGACCCGTCCAAACCTCTTCCTCCTCTACCGCCACAACCACCAACCGAAGGACATGGCTCTGCACCACAGTACATGCCCTCGTCGTCCTCACACCTGGAGCCCACAGACGACAAGCAGGAGTTGCAACGACGAAGACTGGAAATGGAGAGAAGTGCGCCGCCTACAGACCATGACGACGAAGGCGGCCCGTCGAATGGTGCCTTTGCCCCGCCACCTCACGCCCTAACGAGCTCGCATTTGGCTCCTTCAGCGCCTATGCTGAACGATGATGACGAGTTCCTTGTGGGAGCAGTGCGTCCAGTCCGAAGTAGACAGGATCTACCCGAGAGTAGTAGAAGACAAAGTGAGGCGTTACCAGAGTACCGAAGGTGACATGCATGATACGGGCGTTTCTGGGTTCATTGAAGACGCAATGTGCGCAAATCTTTTGGCATGAAGCGTTACATAGACTTGTCCTTTTTTTCCTCCTCTTGCTATTTTCCAAATCGGGGTTTTCACACGCCGTTCTCTCACGCCTTTTTTTCTTTTTCTCAAAAAGAGCGGTCAACATCTACTTTCTTCTTTTTCTGTTTGTTTGTTGGGCAAAGGACAATACTGAAGTGTAGGGGTGTTTTGATTTCTATGATACCTTTTGAACGATATTAGGCAATATATTTAATTCCATATGTATAGTTATGTGTTTGTATGTATGTATGTATGCATATCGAGTGGAAGCGTCACCCTTGATGATGTTCTTTTGTGGATTCCCGACTTTCGCGCCTTATTGTTGCAACTTTCTTGGGATGTATGCGGTTTTAGCTCATTTCATGTCCTGAAGTTGCCGAGTAATGACTGTCTCAAGATCGCGCGAATGGGCATCATATGTCTTTTGCAGACTGGCTAACTGCTTCGTCATTGCAGCTTCGATGTTGGCTTTCTGTGCTAGCAGATCCTGGAGGCCCCTGAGTTGCGCTTGGTGAGCTGCTGATCTGTGATTTGCGTTAGTTGGAGTGGTTGTGAAGCGGTGCGATGTTGCCGACACGCACGCTTCCTTTTCGTAATCGCCAAAGGCCATGTGGATGTCGTCTAGGACTACTGCGCGTTGCTCAATGTAGTCTTCAGTAATATCTTGCTTACGGGCTGCGAGATACTTGCGTTGCTAGAAGGGATATGGGTTAGCATCGTGTTGGTATGTCATTAATACTAGATGGTTTTTTTGTATCTAGCCGATGGAGTTCTCAGCTAGACATACATCGGCAACCATGTTGACCATAAGTTGCTCTAGTGCGTCGTCCGAGGTGCTTTGAGATGCTTTTAGCTCGGCTTCTTTGTTGTTGTGATTGAACTTTAAAATCTCCGTATCACTGGGTTCATTGAAGTCTTTCATTGGCTTCGCAGTTTCTTGAAGAGAGACATCTTGCGTGAGAGTAGTACGGTTCGATGGCCTTTTTACTTTTGGCAAGACCATGACTGACTGTTCGGGTGAGTGCTAGCAGTTAGTGTGATGATCAGCAGTTGAGGATAACTAGGTAGATATTGTCAGGCAATCACGCTTGTGGGTGCCTGTGTAGCCCAAATAGGTTGAAGTTGAGCAGTTCAAGTGTGGGTGGATACAAAGGCCGGTGGTTGGCTTTCCCCACATGGTGCCGAGACTCGGCGCTACTAGCGTGCATCCACAAATTTTTGGCCTCCAGTTTGCGGACTCCCGCATTGTTCACCAGCAAAATCACTTCGTGTTTTCTTCGCACCATAATCTCTGGAAGCCAAAATGGGTCTCGCCGCGCCAAAGAAGTATGCACGCGATTTCGACTTTTGCCACCTTTACCTCCCAAACTGACGCTCCAGTAGCCGAACCAAAATCTCCAATGACCCGCAAAACACAACATGGGCGAACAACACCTCGCGCTTCGGTCATCGCATGTTGACTTCGCAGGGATGGCAACCTGGTAGCTCTCTGGGCGCAAAAGATGCGTCCCACGCCGCTCATTACACCACCGCCTCCCAATCGCACATCCGTGTCTTTCTCAAAGACGACAACCTAGGTCTAGGCGCAAAGCGAGGCAGTGAGCGGCCGGAAAATTTTGGTCTTGCAGGGCTAGAGAGTATTCTGGGGCGATTGAATGGCAATGAGGCCGAAGTCAAGAAGGAAGAGGAGAGGCGCGAGGAGATTGAGAAGAGGGCATTCGTGTACCGGAAGTACGGCATGATGAACTTTGTCAGTGGCGGCTTCCTGGTCGGCGATAAGATTACAAAGAAGTCGGATATCAAGAAGGAAATTGAGGTCAAGACCGAGACGGAAATCAAATCTGAGCCGCAAAGCGACAACGAAATGGCGAGCAGCAAGGACAAGAAGAGAAAGCGCGAGGAGCACACCGAGGACGAGCCGAAGTTGAAGCGCAAGAAGAAGAGCACAGATCTGCGTGATGACGGGAAGACAGAGAGCGACTCGTCGAAGTCGAAGAAGCACAAGAAGGAAAAGTCGAAAAAGTCGAAGCGGGCATCTTCGTCTGATGTGGAGGCCTCGGCCGACACCGAACTGCTCACAGACAAGGCACGACGGAAAGCAGAGAAGAAGGCACGCAAGGAGGAGAAGAAAGCTAAAAAGGCACTCAAGAAGGCTGCGAAGAAGGCAGCTAAGAAGGGCAGTTCCGACGACTCGAGCTCTGAGAGCGAGACCGAAGCGAGCACGCCAAGTTCTTCCGTGCCTGTGTCGGGCGTGTCCACGCCTGCACCTGCGGGATTAACATACAACCCACGAGGTATGCATGCTGTGCGACAGAGGTGGATTCGCCAGAAAAAGGCAGCAACTATGGATGCACAGGCGATGAAAGAGGTATGTTTGGCGTGGGATGCCTCCTCATAGACCAACCCCGACTAACACAAGGTGCAGATTTTCATGATCAAATCACAGTCGTAAGTCAGCGCTTGACTGGGCGCATGACCGTTATCAGCATAGCGAGGCGTTGGTGGGGTTTTGTTGTAGCATTGGACTGTTGGGCTCGAATATGGAAGCCGAATAGAAGACAACACATCGCACATGTCATTTTTTCCCAAGTTAAACTCAAATAAACTGCTTTGGCCGGGGATTGAATAGGATAAGGTTTTATATCGTGGCCATGCATCATGAATATTACTCATGGTCCGAGATATCCGCCATCCCAATGGGATTACTGTGCAGCGGTAGCAGTCAGCCAGCCAGGCTAAGGGCTTTTGTGATTTTGCCGGTCGCGATTGTGGTTGGGTTGATTCAAGTTCAAGCTAGGCCGATAGTGGTCGAAGGCCGCCGGTGAATTCAACCAAAACGGAGGAGGGGTGTCCATGTACATATGCAGCTTCCATTACGACTAGAAGCTGGTAGCGTTTTTAGTGGTATTCTACGATGGTTTACTTTTCTCCCCGTTTCACGGTGCAATTAGGTATAGTTCACTGCATCTTGGCAATCAGAGGTCCAAAATCCTACTCGAGGTTAAAGGCTTGTTATTCCCTCTGCGGCAGAAATCTAACCACAACCGCAACCGGCGAAACCAAACAGGCGCTAAGCGAAGAACCCATACAGTTGCAGTGAACGGATGATAAACGTCGAACCTACGATAGGGCAATTCCAGAAACCAGGGATGCGCTGCGAGCCGCGTCAGTTCCTGCATGGCGGACCCCGTGCTAGCGCGCTAGGCCGTAGTGGGATGAGGGCGATGTACAATGACCTCGTCCACCCTTGGTAACTGTAGCGCGCTGCTTGACCCGGTGTACTACTACAGGACATACGTATGTATGTACAGGGCTCCCGTTTAATCCTCGCAACGGCCAGCCCTAGTTGCTTTCTTTTCTTCGGCAAATTCTTGTCTCACCTTCTGTCTCTCTTTCTCTCTTTCTTGACTGCATCGGCGAATAAACGCATGCGTAGTCGGCCCTTGGGCGTTTCCGGTAAGGTCCGCTGCAGCCGAATCCCCAAGTTGGTAGTACGGCATGGTTAACATTTGGCGCAGTCAGCCTTCACCCTCACAACACGGCGTTCCATGCATATGCCCAGCGCCTCGTCCACAGACTATATAACCGACGCCCCGCCCATAGATTCGGTCCCCGACGCCCCTTCCGTACTCGACGCCTCGCCCTTCGACTCTATGCCCGCGCAATTGGCCCCTAACATGCCCTCTCTCGCATCGAGGAATGGCGCCCCTGTGCCCACGAGGAAGGAGTCGACGCCCATGATGCCTCCCTTCATGGTTTCTGCGCCAGGCAAAGTCATTGTATACGGAGAGCATGCCGTTGTCTATGGAAAGGTACAACTCAACAGTTCCAAACACGTTCAGGAGCCCATATACTGATGTTTCTCAGGCCGCCATTGCGGCAGCTATATCCCTCCGTTCATATCTCCACGTCTCGTTCCTTTCAAAGTCGAACCGTACCGTGCAGCTGCGCTTTCCCGATATTCAGATGGAGCACACGTGGAATATTGACGAACTACCATGGGACGCGTTCAGCAAGCCGGGCAAGAAGAAGCACTACTACGAACTCGTAGAATCATTAGATCCCGATCTGATGGTCGCCATACAACCTTTCATAGACCAAGTGTCTCCCACTACTCCTGAGTCGATACGAAAAATCCACCACGCCTCGGCGACCTCCTTCTTATACCTTTTCCTCTCGCTTGCGTCGCGCAAAGTTCCTCCTTGTATTTATACATTACGTTCCACCATTCCAATTGGCGCCGGCCTGGGTAGCAGCGCCAGTATATCAGTGTGCCTCAGTACCGCATTGCTTCTACAGATTCGTGCTCTGAGCGGGCCCCATCAAGACCAACCGGCACAAGAATGTGAGCTTAACATAGAGCGCATCAACCGATGGGCATTTGTTGGTGAAATGTGCATACACGGGAACCCTTCTGGAGTCGATAACACAGTGTCCTCGGGTGGTAAGGCAGTCCTCTTTCAACGGAGAGATTACGGCCAGCCCCCGCTTGTACAACCACTACACAGTTTCCCAGAGCTACCTCTTTTGCTTGTCAACACGCGACAGTCGCGCAGCACAGCTACCGAGGTCGCCAAAGTCGCCAACCTCCGCAAAGCGCATCCCGTCCTCGCAGAGAGCATTCTCGACGCAATAGGCTCCGTCACTGAATCCGCACACAAGCTCCTCACATCCCCAGGTTTCGATTCAGAATCAATTGAAGCGCTGAAGCATCTCGGTGAACTAGTAACCATCAACCATGGCTTGCTTGTTTCACTAGGCGTTTCCCACCCAAAGCTCGAACGTATCCGAGAAATTATCGATCACACAGGTATTGGCTGGACAAAGCTCACGGGAGCAGGAGGTGGAGGTTGTGCCATCACTATTCTCAAGCCGCAGCCGCCCGCCCTCGCAAACGACCACCAACCGGACACAAACTCTGACAAATCCGATACCGCATCTGAACCAGATGTAGATTGCAATGCCTCTGTCATTTCAACTAGCACCAAGATGAAGTACAAGATCCTTGATTCGCTCGAGGTCAAGCTGGAGAATGAAGGATTCGAGAAGTTTGAGACGACGCTGGCTGGTGATGGTGTTGGTATCCTCTGGCCAGCTGTTTTGCATAATGGAAATGAAGAGGAGGGTGGAGAGGAAATTGACCAGGAAAAGTTCCTCAATGCTGAGGGCAACGTTGGAATCGAGAGACTAGTTGGTGTTAACAGCTCACAACGGAAGATCTATGGAGAAGTTAGAGAAGGATGGAAGTTTTGGAGGCCGTGGGATGCTGGTGAGAGTTAGAACTTGCTCTAGGTGCTGGTTTTAATTTACTCTTCATACCGCTGTCATGCTTGTAGCATCGATGCGCATCTTAATTTTCTGTTTTCTTTTTCTTCACATAGGGTATAGTTATAGGGTTGTGTCACTTTGAGGAACCATGAAAAAGTTTGGTATATGCAGTGTCCGTCAAACGAGTCCTGGGGAACTTTGCTTTTTTGGTGACAAGGCAATGTGTAGCCGTTCCAATCGTGCCGCGCATATTCAGCCACGCTCTTGGTCACCAAAACACATGAACTCGAGTCGAGTGTTCTGTATGTATGTGGCTTGTGCCGCTATGATTGGGCGGTAAGCCATGTGGCTCAGGTAATTTTTAGAAGCGAGCCACGCGCAGTGGCTGAGTCCAACCACTGTCTTGCGACGCAGTCAAACCTTGAGAGAGACTTCCCTCACCCACAACACTTTACCAGTATATCACTGCACAGTTGCAGGTAGAATTTATCGAATACGCTACTCATAAAACGAAAATCCCTCGTGATCTTATATACCAACCACAGTCATGGCGCCTGGAAAGTGGGGTACGTCATATTCGCTGCCTCTGCGCCTGCGCTTCAATATGGACCTTTGCAGGACCCTTCGCTCACAACGTCCCAGATGATGAAGAAGAGAGCTCGGGCCCTCCATCTCCGACCGTAGCACCCATCGCCCGCCGCAGCAAGTTTGAAGACGAAGAAGATGAAGATGTGTGTCATCCCTCCCTGCCCCGCGCTCGCATAATTTCCAACCCCGCTATACACATCTTGCACATGCTGACTGCGTACCCAACAGGTGCTAGAATCATGGGACGCCGCAGAAGACTCTGAAGTCGAGCGTGAAAAGGCGAAGAAGGCCGCTGAGGCAAAGGCAAAGGCAGATGCAGAGGCAAAGGCAAACCACAAGTCCAAGGCGCAACGAATCGAGGAGCACAGACAGGCTGCCCTGCGCAGACGGCAGATGGATGATGATGGAGAGAGCGAAGAAGAGGAAACTGAGGCCGAACGCCGTGCAAGACTACGCCAACAAGAAATCGACGGCTCGCGTGCCCAGGCCGAGGAACTCTTTGGTGACCTGACCGTCAGCAACAAGCGCAGCGGCAAAGCTGTCACAATCGCAGACGAGAGCGACCCAAACAACACCATCAACCTCTCCTCGCTCTCCATCTTCAACCCAAACACCAAGGACCAGTTCACCAAGCTGCGCGAGACACTCACTCCCCTGATCGCTGCCAACTCCAAGAAAGGACAGTACACTCTCTTCTTGCAAGAGTTCACCAAGCAGATTGCCAAGGATCTTCCCAGCGAACAGATCAAGAAGATTGCCTCTGGCCTGACTACGCTGAGCAATGAAAAGATGAAGGAGGAGAAGGCGGCCGAGAAGGGAGGAAAGAAGACAAAAGCAGCAAAGACGAAGACGACGCTCAACGCGAGTCGCGATGTTAGTTTGAAGGCGGATACCCGGGCGTATGACGATGATGACTTTGGCGAGTAAGTTCTTCCTGGCTGTCTCCTTTCATGTGTATATGTGGGTGAGCTAACAACATTCTGCAGTGATGACTTTATGTGAGGCATACTGCCGTTCTTCTACCTGTACACCTTTCCGCATACAACATGCTTTGCGTCCAATGTAGGCGTTTGCCACTTGGTCGCACCGTCCTTGCGGTTCGCATGCGCAAGTCTACAGAAATGAGCGCAGCAATTTCTTGATTCTTCTGGCATTTTATTACTTCACCTTGCTCTTTTCTTCTGTCTGGTATACGGTTTGCTTCAAGGGTTTCAAAACGGCCTAGGTTGCACGCATGTAGACATGTTTTAGCTTTACCATATACACAGATTAACACGATCCTTTTTACATTCTATTCATGTGTCGTCTCCAAAAACAGATTGCTCCGCCCAAGATACTGTGATCGTCTCTTGCATACAAAGGAGCGTTGGATGGACCCATACAAGGAGGGAAAGCGACGGACATGTGCTTTTCCTTGCTTCAAGTAAACGCTACCAGCCTCCTTTGTCTGATTTCTGTCTATGCAAATCCAGATAGAAAAAGGAAAAAAAAGGTTGCAATGTCAATATATTCTATTTTCTACAATCCATCTACAAAACAAGAAAGAGGGAATCGGTGCGAAATCGCTCAATCTCCTGTTCTCGAGTTTTCAATCTTCGTCACAATCAAGTCGGTTGCCCCGACGTCGGTCAGCTTATCCATAGCAATGGCAATGTCTTTGCGCAGCACCATAGCCTGAACCGCCACCCATCCATCTTCCTCGAGCGCGTTTACCGTTGGGGCGCGACGGCCCGGGGTAATTGTGCGGGCGGCATCGAGTTTTGACCTGGGAACATTGTATGTGCAAAGCACATATTTTTGCGCCGCTGTAACATTGTTAGATCTTCTTTCCCCCAACTATCTTTTTTATCTTTGGGGGAAGTCAAAACTTACTAATAACACCCTTTATCCTAGCTGTAATGAGGTCCACGAGCTTAGGGTCTGAGGGGTGTTTGGACTTGATGAGGATGGCACTCGAAGTAACGACTGTAGATATAGCTTTTAGACCCGCAGCGCGCATCGTCTCGCCTGATTCCACTAGATCCACAATACCATCGGCGACGCCCAATGCGCATGCTGCCTCGACACTGCCGCCGACATACTTGATGACTGTCTTTAGCTTTGCATCTCCGTTGGTCTCGCCGTTCGTGGTACCCGCCTGTTCCGCTTCCAGTTTCCTAAAGTACTGCTCTGCGAGGTTGGTGAAGCTCGTAACGACGTTCTTTCCAATAAGGTCTTCAGGCTTGGTCAGGTCGCCTTTGGCGGGGACCTGGACTTGGAGACTGCACTTTCCGAAACCAAGGTCTAGCACTTCGTCGACGCCGGTTGTGGCGGTGGGTGGAGTGACGCATTCGTGCTCTGCGACTTGGTCACGGCCGGTTATGCCTAGGTCTACGCGACCTTCACCGACGAAGGTGGGGATATCGGCGGCGGGGAGGAAGACGAGTGCAAGCGGGAGGTTCTTGACGAGTGCAATATCGAGGCGTGAATGGCGGTGAAATTGGATGTCTGAGCCGTGGAGGAGATCGAGACAGGCTTGGTGGAGGCGGCCCTCTACGAGGAGACATTAGTATATGCACGATTGAGTGGAGTCTGGTACAAGACAACAAAACATACTCTTTGGCACCGCGAAGAGAAGGCGGTCATTCAAACTGTTGCCCAAAAGGTCAGTCATAAAAGGAAGACTTCGACTACCCTGTCGCGGCCTCTGCGCGACTTCATCCAATGTACCACTGATGCCGACTAAGAAGCCCATATTTGCGGCAAGCTAAACCAAGAGTAATTCTAAGAAAGCAGCAATAGGGAAAGTAAGGGGAAAGAAGGGGGAAAACAAAATTAGTAGGTCCGACATACGAGTTAACGAGATCCATTCTTTTCCACTCTGAGTGTGCACAAGCACGCAATTGACCAGCAGGGATTCGTCGTAGGGGTAGTATGCAAATCGACGCGCAATGTAATGCGTGATGCAAGCTATCGTGTTTAGGAACAAAAAAAATGGGGGATGCAGAAAGATGTGCTCTTGCTGGTAACAGTCTAGAGCACGCCCAGGATCCCCACGTCGACGGCGAAGTGTGATTGGCGAATCGCTCGTGGAATATAGGATGGGCTTAGGGTGTAAGATGCACACGTCTTGCGTGGTTTTTTCTGTCTTCGTGTTTCGTGTACAGCAAGTGTCGGTTGCGCGAAAACATGCGCCGTCCGCGGCTCGTTCGTGGGGGAGGCTAGGCAATTTGCAAAGTGACTCAATGAGGGGTACAATAAGCTACACGTGTGGCCCGCTGGCTAGTCTCCTCCCACCAAATGAGGTTGTGAATGTATGTATGTATAATACATATTTGTTAGATGTTTGATAAGTCTAGACGCGTCAATGACTGCAGTCCCCGCTGTCTTGCCGATATGCGGCCTCGGAATGATTTTTCTGTCGCAAGATGACGTCCAACCATTGCCCCGCGTTGTGCTGCGGCTGATGAGTGCGACCAAGGCGGTGTCGGCTGGCACAATTTTACTTTATGTATTGTCGACGTATCCTCGTCGCATGCACCATGGATATGCCGTGAGCATGCACGGTTGCATATAGCGCGTTGTGATATGTATAGTTAGACGAGCACGCAATCAAATGTTCTTAAGGTATGAACAAGTTTTGAAAGCGACATTTTCGACGATCCGGACTTCTTATACATTAATTGGATATAGTGCTGCTACAACCACGAATACACTTTCTGTAGCAAATTCTTTTGTGACTTATTCGTGTCGTGTGAAATAAATTCAGCATAGAACAGACACGACGATTCACGAATCCGAGGATTGGAAAGTTGGCAACACGGCCTTGGCGTAAACACATATATGCAAAATCAACATGGTGCAGCTGAATTTCTCATTGTACTCGAAGTCATGGTACTCAGTGACAGGGGTGATGCATGAATAGTCAAGGATGAATTACAGGCACTCTATGAACGAGCGGTTCACAAATTAACAAGTCTGATATGTTTCAATGGAGTCTCGGTTTGAGTTTAAACTAGAGGAAAAAGAAAATATACATTACAAACGCAGCTACTGAGTAGTTAACCCTGCAAGGAAACAGAATAAAGTCTTTCCCAGCACTGCCTTCACCGGACTCGTGCGTGCCTTGACAGGGGCTGAATGCACAACCACCGCTAGACGACGCGCTGGTGGAGACTCTACTCTCCCAACGTGGCTAAGACCCACAATTGACAATTCACAAACACGTTTTTGGTAGACCTCGGATGTAGCACGATACCTCATCTAAAGCCATAATAATAAACTCAATATATACAAAATTATTTTGCTTTCTTCCATCAAGCATTCTTGGTCCAACGGTAGGATAATTGCCTTCCAAGCAATTGGCCCGGGTTCGACTCCCGGAGGATGCATAACATCCTTCTCTCGATTGCAACGTTATGACTTTTTTTGTTTTGCTGGGGTTTGGTCAAGGGAAAATCCGACTGACTAGCCCGTTCTCTTTTTGCGCCACAGCGTCACGCCTCAAGCTATCTCTTCAGCAATACCTCTCTTTCCCCACCCCAAAAAGAAGAATCTTGGTGGGTAGCTCTGATCTGGTGATCAGTCGATAAATTACTTAATCATAGACGTTTTTATTGGCGACTGAGCGGTTGTGAACTTACGCAAATCTTGGATAAATGCATGATTACGAACGCAAATAAGAAGTTTTGAGTAAGCTGACAACTGAAATATCAGAATAAAACCACACTTGTGTTTGCGTACTTCACCCAGAGCAAACTTAACAGCAGGCTTGAGGACAGGGACTTAAGAAGGCTGGAACTATACATCTGCTTGATCAGATCTTGTTCACTATTGAAAATGTATTCATGTACTTTCGACATATGTGCATCCACCTGTACAAGAGTTTATGCTCTCTTGGTTCAAATGCGACATATTTATACGCTGCGAATCACCCCGAAACGCTATCCCGTCCATGCTGATAGCACGACAGCGAAACTTGAGCTATGAACCTGCTCGTCTATCACGGCCTTGAAATCCCATCAGTAGAACCCATTTCGCTAGCGTTCGTTGTCTGAAACTGCACGTACGGTCGATGCTTCGGACATTGCTCGAACTGTAGACTCGGAGTCTGTCGACGTAACATGCGAATCGATCGATATGATCGACGGCTGCCTAGCATGCATGCTCGGTAGCTCCTCATCGTATGCATCTGCGTCACTCATATTCTCATCCGTATCCTCATTGCTCTCATCATGTACACTTATGGCTTCGGCTTCCAGAGCAGTCATTCGGTTCACAAACTCTTTCTGTAATTCACTGAGCCATGCAGAGAGGATCTCTCCTTCCAGTACGCCGTTATACGCCTGGACCAGATGCTCTTTGAGATTGAGAATCAGCTTTCGACGCTTTTCTTTGAGTACTATTTCCGACGCTTTCTTGTTCCGAATAGTATGATGCTCAATTTTGCGCGCGGCGTTTGTAGCATGCTCCACAATACCTGGAGGTAGTGGGACGACACGAGCAAGCGCCAGACCATAGTGCACTTCTTTTGCGACGCCTTGAGTTGCTTTGTAGAGCATTGTCATACTGTGCTCACCTTGAATCTGTAATGGTGAGCTGATGCTTTGATCAGGATATAAATACTTACATCAACCGCTAGATGTAGATTCAGAACTCCAGCACGTTCACTCATGATAGTAGCGAGGTCCTTGAAATGAGTCGCAAACCATACGAGAGCCTAAAAACGTTAATCTTGTTAAGTGGTCATGTTTAAGCGCCTACTCTGCTAGATAGAAGAGCTTCCGCAATGGCCAAGGCAATGGCTAGACCATCTCTTGTGCTCGTGCCGCGACCCAGCTCATCAACTATGATTCTAAAATGGGATCAGCAATGCTGTAGCATGATAATGGCTTGTTTCATACAAGCTGCGTTGGTCGACGTTGCGCAAGATGAAAGCAATCTCTCTC